CCCAATCAACTCGGGCATCCCGGGGCTGTCAATTCGGTCACCACAATACTCCAAGCATCGGCTGAAACTCCATTTTTTTCGATAAAATTAAGCTATTATTTGTAGAAGCATTTATTGATATATATTTTAGGAATCAGTACTTACCCCAAAACTGAGTTTCTACCATTCCTCCAGTTTCGAGCGATGGCGCGATTCTTTAAATTTTTATGTTGTAGACAAAATATAGGAGTGTTGTCCAGCCGCTGCCACAATGAAGAGCTACAACCCGGATTCTATAGTCAGCCAGTCAGAACTACGCTTCTTATCCCCTAGAAATTTTGAACCTCTGTTTAATTTCATTATTGGGTTTTGACACTGACTCTGATCGTTTTGGTGAAACGTGCTTACTCTAAGGCATTTGGTTTTTCAAGTAAAAATATAATTCTGATAACTGTTTGGATAAACTTGGGTCCGGGGATTCCGAGAAATCATCGATGTTTCATAACAGTTATCAACCAGATTTTCCACCGTGCTGTTAATTGTTCCGTGATAACGTCTGATGAATTTTTAAGGTTATTTTGCGGCTTTTACCTTGTTTTTTCTTCGCTTTCATATCCTTGCGAAGTTCATAATTTTCTGCAATTTTTGATGTTTCAAAAAAGTTATCAGCATGTGTTTTTCTTTGTGCTAGTGATCTGTATCAATTTTCAAGACAATGACTCTGAACGCCATCTAAAAATTGTTTTAAGACATGTATAATATGGATCGACAACCTCTCATCTTCACCCCGCTCAGATCGCCGGCAAAATTGGTCGAGATTTCGGGAAAAACGTGAGGAATATCTTGAATTTTTTTGCTGAAAAAGACGGTAAGTATACATGAAAAAAATCCATTACGTGATGAAAAAGTCTATTGGCTATCCGCGTCGCCCGGCTAGAAAACCGATACAAAAGCTACGGTCGGATATTTTAGTACCTTAGAGCGGTGTCTTCCCTCTCGCATTAAGAGTTGTCGAATACCCTAACGTGGAATAAGGCTGAAAGTAATCTTTTTATTTTTCGGTATTCTACCTTTTCATGGTTTCCACATTTTAAAAACACAAAAATGAAATTTAATCAATCTTAGGCGTTGGCGACAAACGGCCCCAAAATTTAGTAATTTTCCAGCAAAAATGTTTCAAGAAATTAAGCTTTGCCTTTTACACTGGAGCCGTTAATCGCGAATCCTGCACCGGTTTTGAATTAGACAATCACCTAAAGGTTTGAAAGTAAAAAATAATTTCGGAGTTTTTGGTTATTTCTACGTTCTCATGGTTGCCACATTTTTAAACATGAAAACAAAAAGTAATAAAGCTGAAGCATTAATGGCAGAAAAACGGGCTTTAAAATCAGATAAATTTTTGCTAAAATGTTACAAAAAATCATGCTACCCCTTTCACATTGGGACCTTAATTGGCAGCGGCCATGACGAAAGCTAGCGGCTCCCCGCATTATCCAGGAATAAATCCCGGAATAATGCCCACGCGAGGGGTTTGCCACCCGCTAACCTTGTTGAAGGAAAGACTGCACCAAAAGAACGCGCGATCGGCTTATCAGCAGTAGTATAAGATGCATTTCCCGAATAGCCTGGACACTCTTGTTGAATAAGAGTTTATTAGTACACGATAAGAACACGGATACCGGAAGTCTGGATTGGGCGAGCCAAGGGAAAGTCTGGGGCAAAGTGAATGCGGGTAGAGCTCTGGGTAGGTTGGAAACGGGGCACTCTGGGTAAGGGAGCTCGCCGGGCTCACCGGTATCGGGGATGGCGGACACATCGCACCAACACCGAATCGCCCTACCAGTCAGAAATGACTGGCAGCATTTCTCCCAGTTTGGGAGAAAATGCAACGACTGGGAAAAGATCCCTTTCCCTGGGCCGAGGGCGGCCGCCATACGGTCACCCGCTGGGGGGCGCGCGCCGGGACCCAGGGAGAATTTGGCCGCCCGCCAAGTCCGCCTAATTAAACCTCGTAAGTCCTGTAGAATCGTAAGATTTCTACAGAACTTTCGATACTCCCGCCCGGCCGAAGCAAGGGGCGAAAGTGCCGTGCGTGTCTGGGTGGTGGCTTAGGGTTTCACGCTTCTGGACTGATCTCAGATAGACCAGAGTATTTCGCGTTCCACCTTCTGCCTACTGAACACCGGAAACTGCGGGGGGTCTGCTTGGGGTGGAGAACTAGTGTAGTTCTGCAGTTTCCGGGTCAGTGATGGGGGCCGCACGAGGTATATAGGACAGGACTAGGAGGGCGAGTGGGACCTCCGCCCCACGGCAAAAGAAAAGAGGACTCCAATACCCTGAGTGTGACAATGATAGTGGAGGGGCGAGCTCTACCGCACGGGGGAAGTGGAGTAGGCTCCAATGGCAGGGTATCACAGGGAGTCACGGTAACACGGGGGGCGGGAGGGTCGAAAAATGGTTAGATCCTAGGGGTGGGGCAAAGGGAGGGGAAGTTGAACGGCCCTAAGGAGCCCGTACTCCTGCCGAACAACTGGGGACTCACTTTATGGTTCGCTTGCTTGACTGCTTGCTGTGTGGTTGACTTGGGCCGGTGAAGGACTTGCGACGAGCTTGACACCGGCAACGAGACGTGGAGCAGACGAGAAGGCGACCAACGGCAGTGATGAGCCGAACTGCTTGAGGGGAGAAGGGTTCTGAGCTGGGGCGTGGAACGAGGCGGCAGAAAAAAACCACCACGAAGCCCTCCTTAGACACTGCTTGGTTGGGATCGGGGTATCTGACTGGATAAACATATCCCTTGGGGAAAAGGTTCTGCTTTGATCTACTGATCAAGAGGGGAATCTGCATTGGGTGTTGAGACTGACAATTGATTACTCAAAGCCAGCCTGGGTCTGCTTAGGATGAATACATGTCTGCTTTATCTGAAGGCAGCGAGAAAAGAGCTGCTTTGATTTGCAATGAACGTACGGGGACGGCGGCGGTGCGCTCACGTCAGCCCGATAACATCCAAAGCAAAAAACAAAGCAGACTTACTCACTGTACTTCAGATGCTTCATCGACTTGGTGGAGTGGCTGCGCATGCTTCGAGGCCATTAAGCATACGCATCTTCCTGTAGACTTGCGTCGGGTTGTCGTCCGTGCGTGGAGCGTCGAGCCGCGTGAAGCATGGATGACAACAATCTGCTTGGGGGAGGCCGAAAACTTTTTCGATGCGAGCACCGAACAAGTCCTGCTTGGCTACTCAAAAAAGAAAAAAATTCTGCTTTTCGTGCGGACAGCACAACGAATAGAAAAGTTCTGCTTTATCTGAAGGCAGCGAGAAAAGAACTGCTTTGATTTGCAATGAACGTACGGGGACGGCGGCGGTGCGCTCACGTCAACCCGATAACATCCAAAGCAAAAAACAAAGCAGACTTACTCGCTGTACTCCAGATGCTTCATCGACTTGGAGGGCTGGCTGCGTATGCTTCGAGACCGCGAAGCATACGCAATGTCCTGTAGACTTGCATCGGGTTGTCGTCCGTGCGTGAAGCCTTGAGCCGCGTGAAGCATGGATGACAACAATCTGCTTTCGGGAAGACTGAAAAAACTTGTTCGATGCGAGCACCGAACAAGTCCTGCTTGGAAACTCAAAAAAGAAAGTCTGCTTTTCGTGCGAACAGCACAACGAAAAATAAAAGGTTCTGCTTTAGGCAACTGCCTAGTGAAATAAAGTCTGCACGGGGGCTAGCAAGCTAGCTGCGAAAGAAAAAGTAAAAGGATTAGCGAAATGAAAGTACAGGAATGCATTGCATTCGCGCAACATCATGGGCTTTAAAAAACCCAATCTGTTTACGCGATGTGAGAGCGCGCAGTAAAGTCCGAAGTATTCGAAATTCTAATCCGCGGCAGCATAATGCTTTGCCATAGGCATGGCCAGCGGAAAAGAAAACGAAAACCTCAAACTCCACCGCGAACTATCTGCCTTTAGCGCCGAAGCGTAAAGCAGAATGCCCACAAGCAAAGCAAAACGGACTTACAAATCGTATCCTCCTCGTCGGTTTTGAAGACGAGAACCTGCTTGCGTCAGCGCCGCACACGTCGTCATCCTGCCATGAAGAGGGCGCAGCTTGAGCGGCGGCATGCTTCGGCGGGCGCGTGAGGCGGACGAGGGCACGGCTGATGAGTCGGCGGCGATGAACTGCGCATTTCTGGGCTAGTGTGCGGCTGCACTTTTTGTAAAAAGAGGCAAAAGAAAGTCTGATTTGTGTGCAAATCGCACTTTTTCGAAAGAAAATTCAAAAGAAAAATCTGGTCGGCGTGCAATTCGCACTTTTTTTCAATAATAAACAAAAGAAAAATTCTGCTTTGAGGGAAAACCTAAAAGTTTTGCTGAATTGTATCGGCTTGACCAAGCTGATGGCGATGTGCAAGCACAAAGCACTACAATTCATCCTATAAGAAAAACGCGCACGAGAGGGGGCCGGGGGGCTAGACTACGCCGCGCTCCAAAACCCTCGCGTAACTGGATAGAAAGCAAAGGGGCAAAAAAATTTTTACTTTCAACACGCTGTAACTTTTTTTAACAGGAGTTTCGTAATCTACTTGAACGCTGGAAAAATAGAAGAGAATTTTCTCTATCTTTTCAGAGCGGTTTCGTGAAATTTGAGCGTGGCAAACGGGACTTCTGATTTTTTGAAGTTGCCAGCCAAGTTCAAGTAAGGTGCGAAAGCAACAAAATGGGTACCAAAAAGAAAAAATGCTTGTGCCAAAGCATTGCTGGCGGATTCAAAGCAACATGCCCAGTTCATTTGCCTCTTGTGCCAATTCCAAGAGATGATTCGCCTTCTCTTGTGCAAATTCCAAGAGCCACCCCGTCTTCCCTTGTGCGAATTCCAAGGGACGACGATGATTTCACTATCGGTACTGTGACAACGAAAGGCCAGTCTACGGCTAGTGCTAAAAAAAGCCTCGAGCTCGAGTATTATGATGTCAGCGCTGCTGAGAAAATTTTGCATAAAGCCAGGAGACTTTTGAAGCGTATGAGTGCACGGCGTAAGCATCGGTATGTTTATGGAAAGTGTAAAGGTTTGGTGGTCCTGTGCCAGGAATTGATTTCGGTGGTAAAAGCGCACCAGGAAAAGGAGGAGTCTGTCAAGACAAAGGTTACACATCATCACTCGACGCCGAAGAAACGCAAATTGCAGCCTTTTACGGAGTTGCACGGTAGTGGTCAGCGTCGGCGTTTACAGCAGTTGGAGTTTTATATTCAGCAACTGGCCGGCCCGAGTTCCGAAGACTCGGCCGAGGCAATTAGCGATTTTTTGCAAAGGTATCTCACCTCCTACCGCTGTGATTTGCTTAAAAATGTGCTCACTCCGACAAATGATCTTTTCATTTGTACTAAATTGGGCATCTCGCAAAACAAACGTGCGCAACTGAAGGCGGAATTGCGAGTCCATGGCTTGGACGTTTTTGCAGCGACCCACGAGGTGATAAAGCTTCGCAAAGAGCTAAAAATCAGTGACCTATATGCATTTTCTGAGGTCGAGGCGGAAATAACGGTGAAAGAGAAAGCTGGTAATAGCATTAAAAAGTTAAAAATTCCCGCTTTCACCTGCATTGACGTGCTTGCGGTCATAACGTCCCGTCTTACCACCTTGGTACACAAAGGCATGCGCCTGTTTGGTGAGAATGGTGATGAGGTCTGGCTGGGATTCTTCGGCGACAAAGGTGGAGGCTCGACAAAATTTGGCTTTATGGTGGGTAACGTGTCAGCGCCGAACCGCCCTGACAATTTGAGTCTCTTGGCGATGTATTATGGTGATGACAACGCCATCCAACTGCGCGCTGTCCTTGCAGAAATTGCACGCCAGATTAACGAGCTTTCTAAAATCGAGCTAGAGGTGGCAGGTGTCAAGAAAAAAATTGTCTTGCGGAAATTTTTGGTGGGCGATATGCCATTCCTCTGCGCCTGCTACGGTCACCAGGGACATAGCTCCGCATATCCGTGTCTAATATGCGAGGACAAAAAAGTCACCATTGGGCAGCTTGCAGCATATAATACGCCGAAAACTTTGCGGACGCTCGACCGTATGCATCAACAGGCCAACCGAGCTGACGATAAAAAAAGCATGGTAATGTCTCCGCTTCTCGAAGTTGAGCCAGACCATATCACCCTATCGGAACTCCATATTTTACTTGGAATCGGTAACATGATTATGGATCGGTTGACGCATTATGCCATTCTAGCAGATTGTGAAGGCTCAGTGCCAGATTCTGTCCTAGAACAGATAAAGAAAAAGGCTGGTTGGAGCAAACAGAAAAAGGAGTATACCGAGCAAGATGGTGTACTGGCAGCCGACCTCCATCAGTTGCAAACTCTCCGGAAAGATGCTACTATCGTTAGTGTCGTGGTAACGGCTATTAATTCTGGCAAGATCCAACCGGTGGTTAGCGATGGCGATGAGGAACCACTCTGCGCATATGGTAATAACTGCTGCTTTGTTGACAAACGCATGAACAAATTTCGGGTCGCAGATCCTCTAGATTGGGCCTCCTCATGCTTGCAATGCGGAGGAGATTACCATGCCGTATGCGTCGGGCTCTTCGAACCGGCCGAAATCGAGCGCAGCCAGGGGCGATTCTTGTGCCCCCGATGTACCAAGCAGCCCTTTTCGCGGTTGGTAAAAAGCTATGAGGACTATATTGCTTTGCTTGACAACGCCGTCAATGAGAAAAAAGAGGAAAAAGCTCGGAATGAGCGCATTTTGACAGATTTAAAGGAGTATGCCGACGAGTACAAAGGCGCCAATTATCAAAATTTACAGAAGGTACTGCGTCAAATCGGTGTTGACCAATCTTTGTACTTTGGCTCTCTGACCGGCAACCAGGCAAAAGCCTTGATTGCAGGAGACAATCCGAAAAAAGTCGTTTCCGTGCTTCCGCAGAGGGCTGAGCTGGTTCCACTCCAGGAGTTTATGGAAGTGTTGGGCAAAATATACAAATTTGCTACCACCAGATTCCATGTTGAAGGGGAGATTGATAAATTCATGGAACTGCTCTCCCGGTTCCAAGAATTGGTTGTGGAAATTTACAGTCATGAAAATAAGGGTACCGATCCGACCATCACTCCGAAGCTGCACTGGCTCCTTCACCACGTGCCTGCTTTCCTACTTAGGTGGAAAACTTGGGGAATGTTATCAGAGCAGGGCGGTGAGAGCTTGCATAATAAAATAAACCAACTCGAGCGGCAATTTTGGTGCCTACGTGGTAACTTGTCGCATAAACTCGCATTAATTGTTGACACTTTACATTTGCGAACCCTGCAGCACGACAATTCGCCGGCTACCACCACTTATTCCACACCAACTTGAGCCTGATCCCCCTTTCTGACGTTTCTGGATCGCCAATCAGCCGCGAAAAAAATAAAAATTGTTGTTAGGTTGTTATTATTTGTTGAATAAATTGTTATTGCCTTTATTTGTGGTCCTCGTTGATTTAATTTCCACGGTTTGCGCCGTCAAATCGAAATACTTGCTTGTTTTCGTCTTTTTGGCCCAGATTTATCCTAGTTTTTGCCGAGTTGATGGCAAAAATCGATTGTTCTATTATTTAAAGGTAGTTTCGGAAAAAAAGCAAAACGAAAAACGTGCTTTTGGAGCGAAGGGGCCGAACCCGCGACCCCTCTCCCGTCCTGCCTGGGACCGCCGCCTTAGACCACTATACCACGCCCCGCCCCCCTCTCTCGTGCGCGCTCTGAAAGGCCGTGAAAGACCGATTTGCCTGGGTATAGCTTCAACAAACAGCTAAAAACTCTGCTTTACAAGCGCGGAAAAACAAAAACCTAAGTTTTGCTCTGAATGGCTTTGACGTAACTTCAAAGCAAAAGGGTCTGGATGGGAATTTTCCCAGGGGAAATGAAAGTCTGCTTCAAAAAGCAAAGTCACTCGTTGGCGAGCGTCTGCCTTCATCGCTGGTCGTGGCTGCAGTTGATCAGGCCGCCGCTTGACGAGATCCGAAGCGAGCATCTGCCGAGGAGTGGAAATCTGGTTTAATCTAAAAGAAAGAAAGTTTGTCCCGATAAACGAGCGCAAACTTCTGCTTTATTTCGGCGCTGATTGCGCGGATGACTGCATGAATTTAGCAGCCAACCGGCAATCAAAGCGCCTTTTGCGAGCGTGCACGGGGCAAGCGCTCGGCTGGAAATCTGCTTTGAAGTCAAAAACAATCGCTCAAAATGAGCAATTCTGCTTGGGTTGACGGAGGAAACCTGCTTTCGCTAAAAGGTTTTGTACGAGGAACCGTTGTTTTAGAATTTAGAAAAGAAATTTTGAATTCTGAGCTAACTGGGATGTTTGCGAAGTAAATCGTACATCACCAGCGCGCTTTTGAACCCAAAATTTTGACAAAATATGGTAAACGAAAGAGAAAAAACGGATCAACGTACAAAATATCTTTTGCGAGTCCATCGGCGAGCTGGCCTGGTGCTTGCGCAGCCTTCTTCGCTTCTGGCCCTCGAGTTTCGACCATCTGCTCGGCAGCTTCGGCGCTTCTCCGTCGTATTGCTCGTCCCAAAACGTCCGGCCGGTCGAAATGAAGACTGCTTTCGAAGAAGAAGGGCTTGAGACTGCTTTTGCAAAATAATACAAGTTTTTTCCGCTCTAAAAGAGCTCAAAACTTCTGCTTTTTTACTAAAAAGGGGAAATCTGCTTGAAAATCAAGGCAAAAAAGTCTGCTTGGGTGAGAAATGATGCGAAAAGTCGCACTGGAACAGCGAAAGCTAACCGCAACGGCTTTCTCAAGGCCGAGGGTCTGCAATCGCCTCTAGAAAATTTCAATACTGACCAAATTGGCGAGTTCTGGGCCTGTTCCTCGATGAGCGCGCATTCCACCGAGGGCCGGCCCGTCGCTGCCGTCTTGGCCGGCACAAAACACGGAAACTTCCTTCCTAGGTGAAATGCTGCAGCCGTGTAAAAACTAAAAAAGGAAAATTAGACTGGATTGGCCGAATGGCGATGATGATCTGGCTGCGGACCGATATCCGGTGATTGGGCAAGCCCAAAAACACAAAAGTGCCTGCTTTTTGCGTTTAGCACAGAGCTAAAAAACGCAATTCTGCTTTGTCTGCTTTCCCCTGATAGTTTCCTATCAGTCTGGCTTTGCAATTGACGATTTCTGACAAGACATCCTTCTTCTTCTGGAATTTGCCATCGCCTGAGGTACAGCAAATACTTCTCCTCCTGGCCTCGCAGATTTCTGCAACAGCTACGGGCGGACGTCAGAGGTCCTGCTCCCCGCTTTTCGCGCCGCACTTTGCGAACGCTATCCATGGATCACTGCCAGTATTCCAAACGAGGGACTAGAGTGGTGAATAACATCAAAAAGATGTTAGACTCATCGCCGGCAATGCCGAACCGTGAGAAGTGTCGGGATCGTGTACTTTGATCAACCGACTTTTCGCTTTCCCAAAGGTCTGGGGGCCGTTGTGCACACGGATAAATGAAGAAAAAGGTCTGCCTTACACCGAAGTGTCTCCGGAACCGTCTGCTTAACTTACCAAGAGGTTTTCTGGGTTAAACGGCAAATGCAGAGAAGACCCGGTTGAACCTGGTCGAAGCACCATGACGAAAGCACGGGCGTTCAGAGCGTGCGTGGGGGAGGGGGAGGGGCGTGGCCGAGTGGTCTAAGGCGCCGGTATGAGCCACAGTCTGAGGGTGAGGGTTCGATTCCCCACCCTCAAGGGAGCGCTTTAACCTTTTGCTTTTTGCGCCAAAAGCCTGGAAAAGTCCCAATAGATCATTTATGGCGCATAGTATGCGAAAAATTAATAAATTAAAAGCTTGCCGGAATTGCAACAACAAATTTTAGCCTCCCAGGACCAAAAAAGTGGCTGATTTAACATTGGCAATGCTTTCCCAAGCAAGTTCAGTGAAAAAACCACAAAGAATGAGCCTAAATTCAAAGAAAAACGCTTCGCACAAAGGACGGAATTTGACACTTTTTGAGCTAAAAAGCTATAGAAGTCCTTATTTCTGCTGTAGATCGGCCTGAGACCTGTTCCATAACATAGCCCAGACTCTTCTCTACATTCCTAGAGCAGCGCTCCCGATTCACATGGCCTTTTCAAAAGTTATAGCGATTTGAAGTTCAAAATTTTTGACTATTTTTCGGCCCTTTCTATGGGGAGATCATGGATCGCGGAGCGTGCACAGTACACGCGCGGCCATTGGAGTGCCCTGGAGCCGCCCCTCCTCTCACAGGCGCTTTCCCTGTCCTCTGAATGCCCGTGAAAGCTAGCGGCTCCCCGCATTATCCAGGAATAAATCCCGGAATAATGCCCACGCGAGGGGTTTGCCACCCGCTAACCTTGTTGAAGGAAAGACTGCACCAAAAGAACGCGCGATCGGCTTATCAGCAGTAGTATAAGATGCATTTCCCGAATAGCCTGGACACTCTTGTTGAATAAGAGTTTATTAGTACACGATAAGAACACGGATACCGGAAGTCTGGATTGGGCGAGCCAAGGGAAAGTCTGGGGCAAAGTGAATGCGGGTAGAGCTCTGGGTAGGTTGGAAACGGGGGCACTCTGGGTAAGGGAGCTCGCCGGGCTCACCGGTATCGGGGATGCAGGACACATCGCACCAACACCGAATCGCCCTACCAGTCATAGAAATGACTGGCAGCATTTCTCCCAGTTTGGGAGAAAATGCAACGACTGGGGAAAAAGATCCCTTTCCCTGGGCCGAGGGCGGCCGCCATACGGTCACCCGCTGGGGGGCGCGCGCCGGGACCCAGGGAGAATTTGGCCGCCCGCCAAGTCCGCCTAATTAAACCTCGTAAGTCCTGTAGAATCGTAAGATTTCTACAGAACTTTCGACAGCGGCTAATCGTATATCTAATTTTTGTAAAAATGTTTCAAAAAATGAAACTTATTCTGTCAAATCGGAGTCCGTAATGGGTGGGCGTTGAATCAGACAATCACTTAAACTTTTTAAGTTCTAAAAGAATTTAGACTTTTTGTAGTTCTGCCTTACCATGGCTTCCCCGTTTTTTGAAAATAACAATTAGAAGGTATAAGCTATCGGTCTTAAACATCGCTGGGAAAGGAACGGCCTTGAAAAATTATATAATCGTTCATTTGTTAAACAAAAATGTTTCAAAAAATTAGGCCTGACTTTAGACCTTCAAGTCTTGAATGCGATTCGGATCGTTAATTAAATTGCCGGCAAACAATAAACTGATTTAGGTTAAAAAGATTCACTCTTTTTCTCCCGATCGGGGCCCTCATCGCTATATTCCTGGTCGCCGTGGTATTTATGCGAGACGCGGTGGTTGGATACGAATGGGGATGTAGGGTAGGTATTTTAAAGGAATCATGACATCCCCCTCCCATGCTAAATCAATAATTTTATAGTGATTTAGTAGTGATTTCCATACTTACTCGCCAAAATTTAAACATTTTTAATGTGGGTTTTCTTATTAAAAATTGTTAATAATTTGGCAGAAGGACGTCGACGACAATTTTGATTATTAAGTTCCCCTCGATTCGTTCGATTTACTGGCGAAAAATAGACGTACTACTTGAATTTTTTTTGGATTTATAATTGGACACAGCATTCTTAAATTAAGCTTGTCACAGTTTGAAACATAATAGACTTTTGAAAGAAAAGACAATCACAACCGATTTTCTTTGGTTTTCCAGTAATTTTAACTGGATTTAGCTCGTCTACCTCCCGGCAATCTCTCGGCTTCTTAACCTACGAGCCACGCGCATCATCTTTGAATTTATTATGGGCCCATTCTTCCTCCTCAGCCCGGGGGTCGTGCTCCTCAATTGCGAGTCTCAGCTGATTTTCGGAAAAGTGTTTCGTAACATTGCCGCCCAGCGCGTGAAGATGCCAATTTAATGCGGATGTGTCTGATAATTTTTTCCTCAAATTTTAAATTTCCGGAGCGCGTTGAATCATTATTTAGATATTTAGTCATTTATATAGTGATTTTTATACGTTAAAAATACATTAACGGTAGGCTCGACTTTGTTCTTGTTGGAATTTATCCTCATTCACTCAAACTTTTATCCATATCTGATTAAAAGTTCTTATTCACATCTGATGAATAGTAAAGAGTAATAGGAAAAATTATTAGTACTTTAATAAAAAAGTTTTATAACCTTCCCCTTTATTAAGTTTTGTAGTTTATTGCCTTAAGTTTTATAATATTCGCAAGAAAAATGAAAATCAAATTATCCAGTTAGTGAGAGTCGAAATAATTTCTGTACTCCTCTTCACTGCAACACTACACCCAATAATAGCTTTCCCAATCTATTCCGATTCGTAATCAGGATATCACGTTTTATTATATTTTACAAACTTAATTTTCTATTTGAAAACAAGATTTGATCGATTTAACTAAATACCGTAATTTCAGATGCACAACTGAGGAATCCACGAGATGACCACATCCGAATTGTTACCCTTTGTGGGATGGTCGCCTCGGGCATTGTGCAAAACATCTTTTTGCTAGCCCTGACGTTCGTCGGGGAGCGTGAGAATGGAAGTGAGTTTTTAAATAAACATTGTTACGGTTCTTTAAGTCAGTAAACCTAAAGTTATGCCAGCTATATTCTGTTTTGAAAGCCAACCTTAAAAAAATAATGTTTCGAAGTTATTGCTTTATTGAGTAGTACACCAGCGTCCTAATTCGCCCGTTTAACGCTCGGTTTCGTCCTATTTCTTACTGAAGTTCTAACAACTGGTAGGTTTTCTTGATTTTCTTTATTCTCCATCAATTTTTGATGATCATTTAATTATCATACTTATATTTCCAGACCTGCACACGATATTCTTCTGCATATTCATCGTGTCGACCTATCTCTATCTTCTGAGTCAAACGGTGCTGCTGAAAAGTAGTGATTACGCGCGGAAAAGCATCGGAAAAGTGAGTTTCATTAAATCTGTGGTCAATATGAATGATCGGAACTACAATTTTTTAAAAATGCTGGTTATGCTAAGTTTTTGAGGTTACGAATCCTATCCTATAAGCGAGAAAAGTATGTGTGTTTTCTGTGCAGACGATTTCTCGGCCGTCAGGCCGAATTTCCGGCTGATTTTTGGCAGGGAGGTGGAGAAACACATTTGCCAGACACGCATTTTTTTGTTTTGCGAAATTCTTCCATTTCGCAATTTTACAAGCAAAATAGTAAAAATCCTTAACAAAACGGGCGGCGAGCCGTGGTGTTCGGGCGATAACTCGAAGCCCAGATGGAATTTCGGGCTGAAATTTGGAACATTTATGCAATGAAGGGTGGGGATCATGCGCAAGTATTTAGTTTTTGAAAATATTGTAATTTCGCTGCATAAAATGCAAATTTTTAAAATTGCTTTTTGTCAGCTCCTCAGCGCCTAATCGAAGTAATTGGCTGACTGAAAAGATAGAGCGAAACGTGCTAAATCTTTCCCTTTTTAAATTTTTAAATTTGGTTGAATTTCCGGGGCGATAGAGCCGTTTTTGTTCCGGAGAAGGGCGCCCTTTCGGGGCGCCGGGGGATGGCCCCCCTGTGTCCCCAGCCCGTCCCGACTCGCCCCCCACCTAACCCATACCCAGGTGATAACCCCCAAGGTTTTCGAGCGCTGCCGGGTGGCTGGCCGAAAGGTTAACACTGAACAGCCACCTTCCTAGAGCGCCCCAGCAATGGGTGACGAATTTTTGGCCGCTACGCTCAAGGGGGAGTCGTCCTCCGATGGTCATACAATTTTAAACGCTCGCTCTCTTGGGACGCCAAGGGGTTCAGCTAGCCTGTTGCTGGACAAGCCAGACCCGGAAGGGATGGTTCGGCCTGACGGTCGTAATTTCGGTCCTGTTGGCACCAGTACCGATCTGCCGGACCCGGTAAGGGTGTCGGAAACAGCTGAGCCTCAGCAGGGTACGAAGAACAGAGGGCCTGCCGATTGGACCCGAAGAGGTAGCAATACCGAGGTTCAATTGGCTGGGCGAGTAGCGGCACCTCCAGCTGTTTTCCGGGACAACACCCCGCGGCCTATCCTCAAACACCGCGGCATCCCATGCAGATCGTGAAAATGCCTTCCGTGCCGAATACCAGCAGTAACTCGACCGGTACGCTCCATACGGGAAAGAAGCTGTCTGACTCGGGATTTTTCGTTCCGAATCCGTGGCAAACGCTGGGCCCTGATTCTTCGAAGCTTTGGGTGCCTCGACAGCAGATGGAACCCGCGCCTGTTCCAAAACCTGAGCCTGTGCTAATACAGAGAAGGAAGGAAAAGATTAGTCGCGCGGAACGTGTACAACTGAGGTTGGAATACGACCAAAGTTTACATCGGACCCCGGCCGATCCTGTACTTGCTCAAGGTCCTGTCGATGTGCCTGAGGTTTCGTTGAGCCAGACTCCGAGTTCACGCGATAGACGGAAGCGAAAGTCTGATGCGGAACGCATGAGGGAATCGCGCGCCAGAGTAACCCTGAGGAGCATGAGATTCAACTAGCAATGAGGCGTGCTAAACGTCTGCGAAACTCTCAAGGGACCCCTGATAATGCGCAACCTTCATTGCAGCCCGTTGAAGATCTAGCTAACGTCACGCCCACTTCGCGCTTGAACTCGCAAAGGAGGTCGGACGCCATTCGCACAAGAGAGCCCAGTCCCATTGCCAATCGACAGAATCTCGAAGATCTGGCCGATTCGCAGTCGAGCAATGGTGATTCGCATGGTTCAGTGCATTTGGTGTGCCGTTTGACGGTAGCCCCTCCGACCTCAAACACAGAGTCCCAGCGGAAGCAAAATGCTGCCCGGATGAGGATGCAGCGTGCAAATGAAAGCCCAGCTGAGCAAGCCGCACGGCAAGCCAAAGACCTCTACTCTAAAAGGTTGCAGGAGGCTCGGTTGAGCACAAGTGAACGTGATACTCAGAATCTCGCGCGGGCCGCGCGTGTAGCGGCAAGGCGCTCCAGAGAATCGCCATCTCGGCGTTCGGAGCGTCTCAGTCGAAACGCGATATCCACTGGAAGTTCACGAAACCGAGAATCCTCATCCCAAAGAGCTTTGCGTCTGGCGGCAAATGCTACTCGGACCGCAGCTCACCGTCAGCAAAGGCAACGCACCGTCGCTGCCCGCGCGGGTGCTGCTCGGAATCCGGAAGCGTTTCCGCCCATCCACTATCTTGGCAAACCGGACATCCCTTGCAGTTGCTGTGGCGCATTGCATTACGCTGTCGAAACAAAATCCCCGAGCGGCAGTTTCCATTCGTGTCGTGGCCATGGCAAAATTGCTATTTCGTTGTTCGACAATTTCCCCCAGGAATTGGAAGATCTTTACAAAGGGGACACCCGAGAATCGAAAGATTTTCGGGCGAACATTCGAAATTACAATAGCGGTCTAGCTATGGCTTCAATGACGGCCCAAATGGATGCTCCGCCCGGAAGAGGTCCACGGCCTTATCGGATCCATGGAGCAGTGTACCATTTGGTCGGCCCTATGAGACCACAGCCTGGAGAGCAAGCCCAGTATGCCCAAATATATATAATGGACACCGAGCAAGCGGCCAACGAGCTAGCCGGTCGTGCCATCAATCGGCACTGCGATCAAGGCCTCTTTGCTAACCTCCATCTCCTCTTGCAAAACGTCAATATCTATGTACAATCATTGATGATGATGGCAGAGGTGTCCAAGGAGGAGTCTGATCAAGCAGCTGCCGATGGGCGGGAAGCTCTCTCAGCGCAGTTGGTCTTTCGAACAGATAAAAGGGACGACCAAAGACGGTTCAATGCGCCTACATCCAATGAGATTGCCGTTGTTTACGTTGGTGACGATGAGTCTATACCCGGCGAGCGCGTGTTCTATATCCACGAGCGAGACGGCGGCCTCAGGCAGATCCATTACTTGCAGAAAGAGTGCGAACCACTCTGTTATCCTCTCTTCTTCCCTCGGGGTGGAGAGGGGGTGGCACCCTAACATTCCGAAGCAAGTGGGAAATGCTGGCCGTCGTGCTAACTCTGATGATGACGAACCGGCTGTTGCCGATGACGGTCCGCCAAACCGGGTATCTCAAAGGGAATATTTCGCCTATAATATGTTCGTCAGGCAAGGCTTCAATCCCATCCACCACGGCGGCAAGCTTTGCCAACAATATTACGTGGATGCCTTCGCCAAAACTGAACAAAATAGGCTTAATTATTATCTGACTCACCAGCGTGAACTTCGGCTGGATACGGTCCGTGGCCTCACCGATCACATGAATTCTCATGGTCAAGGTCCTGCAGGCAGAAAGATTATTTTGGGCGCCGGTCATCAAGGCAGTGGTCGAAATTCGGTCGGACATTATCAGGATTCAGTGGCCATTATGACCAAGTACGGAAAGCCAGATCTCTTTTTTGACCATCACTTGCAATCCGAACTGGCGAGAAATTCAGGAGGGTCTTTATCCAGGCCAGACTGCAATTGATCGTCCAGATTTGGTTGCAAGAGTGTTCGAATTGAAAATGAGAGCACTCGATGAGGAACTTTTCAAAAAGCACATCCTCGGAGAAATGGCTGCCTACGTTTCGGTGATTGAATTCCAGAAACGAGGGCTTCCGCACCGTCATATGGTCCTATTTTTGAAGGAGGATTCAAAGCTCAGAACATCTGACGAGGTTGATAGTATCATCTCTGCTGAGCTCCCTGATTCCGACACTAATCCTGAATTGTTTCAATTGGTTTCGACCAATATGATCCATCGACCTTGCGGTGCCCATAATCCTTCGTCGCCCTGCATGCAAGACAATGCCTGTTCCAAAAGATTTCCAAAAGAATTCAGAGACACCACTCTAATTTCAGACGGTTATCCAAAATACAGGCGCCGAGACCAGGGAAGGACTGTTCGGTATACGGTGAACCGGGCGGATGTCGTACTTGACAACCGTCACGTCGTGCCTTACAACCCTTACCTCCTGCTTCGGTTTGGTGCTCACATCAATCTCGAATGCTGCTTCTCCTTCGACTCGGTCAAATACCTCTTCAAATACGTCTATAAGGGTACTGACAGAGCTCGCTTCCAACTTCGGGATGCAAACAATGATGACCTTGGACCGGTCAATGAGATCGAACGGTACATACAAGGTCGTTATTTGTGCGCTCCCGAAGCTTGCCATCGTCTTTTCGCATTTCCCATGCAAAAGAAGAGCGACAAAGTCATCCGACTCCAAGTACATCTTGACGGATTTGAAAATGTGGTGTTTGACCCAGAAGATGCACAGGCGGCACTGAATAGAGCTCGCACTCATAAGACCACGCTGAGCGCATTCTTTGCCATTAACACGCATATGCAGCATTTGGAGGATACCGGAGCAAGGACGGTTATGGTTAACGGTCAAAAGTGTCTGCAGATCGGGAGAAGGAGGGACGCAGAGAAGGTTCTGGATTCCAGAGAATTTTTCTATGGCCAAATGCCAGAAAAATATCGTATCGTTCAAGGCAAATGGGTGCAACGAAAGAATGCGTCGCGGGTGATTGGCCGGATGTACCATGTTTCTCCACGAGACACGGAACGTTTTGCCATGAGACTGCTTCTGCTCTATACGAAAGGCCCCAGGAGCTTCGAACAACTGCGCACTATCAACGGCACTCAATACAACACCTATTTTGAGGCCGCCAAAGCAGCAGGATACATGAACGATGACTCTGTGAACCTAGCTACGATGCAGGAAGCCGCCGATGTGCGGATGCCTGGAGAACTTCGCAGCTTCTTCTCTTCCCTGATCTGCTTCGCTGACGTGCAGGACCCTGTGGCTTTCTGGGAACGCTTCAAGAACGACCTAATGCAGGACTTCCTTGCTCGCGGACTTTCCATCCAAGTCTCTGAGTCAAAGGCCTACTGGGAAATTGTCGAAGATCTGACAGTTCTCGGGGTCAGAGACAGCCCGTTGTTCCAACTCAATTTGCCAAAGTACGACATTGACATCGTCGTTGTTGATCCCGCTGAGCATGCTCGACTCGGGAACGACAAATACTTGCAATTGAATCCAGAACAACTCAGAGCAACGGATGAAGTCTTGGCCGAGGTCGCAGACCCAAGTGGGCAGTGCTTCTTCATTGACGGTCCAGGGGGAAGCGGCAAAACCTTCGTCTACCAAACCATCTACCACATTCTATCCGGTATGGGTAAAAAGATTCTCTCGGTAGCGTGGACAGGTATTGCCGCCAACCTTTTGGAAGAAGGACGAACAGTCAGCACTGCCTTCCGGCTGTTGATCAAGACCAACAACAAGGAATCCAGCATGAAAAGGCAAAGCATTGAAGCACGAGCACTCGCTGAGATCGACCTGATCATCTGGGACGAAGCACCAATGGCACCGAAAGAAGCACTCGAAGCAGCTGATGCTCTTCTTAAAGACATTATGCAAAACGATGTGCCATTCGGTGGAAAGGCCATGGTACTTGGAGGAGATTTCCGACAGGTACTTCCCGTGGTCGATGGCGGTGGTCGTGCTGAAATGGTGTCAGCCTGCCTGAAGACATCCCGACTCTGGCCGCTCTTTCGCAAGTTTGAGCTCACGACCAACATGAGAGTTCGGGATGCAGGCAACGATTGGAAGGACTATCTTCTCGCTCTGGGTAATGATCTACTCGACAAAGACGAAGAGGGATACCTCGAAGTACCCGAAGATCTCAGATGCGAGCAAGATTTGGCCGAAGCAGTCTTCCGACCAGCCTTCGATGAAGGGTTGAACTTTCTGAAGTAGCTATCCTTACACCCAAGAACGAACAAGCTCTCGAGCTCAACAATCGAATCTTGGATATGCTACCCGGAGAAGTCAAAACCTTCAGAAGTGCTGACTCGGCTGAGACTACTGATCCAACCGATGCTGCCAACTTCAACGCAGAGCTTCTGAACAAGATGACACCATCTGGAATGCCTCCCCACCTGCTCCATCTAAAGGTGGGTTGCATCGTGATGCTTCTGCGAAACCTCAGCGTCAAAAGGGTCTCTGCAACGGTACCAAGGCTGATTGTCGAGCAAATCGGAGCCAGAATTCTCCTCTGCACAATTGCCACTGGGTAGCAGGAAGGGCAAAAAGGTGTTAATCCCCCGAATTGATTGCCTTTATGACAAAGCCACACTACCATTCGTGCTGAAGCGACGCCAATTTCCGGTTCGGCTGAGCTTTGCAATGACCATCAACAAAAGTCAAGGGCAATCATTCGAAAAGGTCGGCATTGCACTTCTTCACGAGGACATCTTTGCACACGGCCAGCTTTATGTCGCTCCTCTCAAGAGCACGGAGCCGCAAAGGTGTCTCCATAATGGCCAAGGACAACAAGATGAAGAACGTCGTCTACGAAGAAGTGCTCGAATAAAATTCTCAATCTTTTGTCATTGTTGATTTTTTGTTATTATTTTTGTTATTGTTGTTCTTTTCTTTTGTTATTATTGTTGTTGTTTGTTGCTTTTTTATATTATATTTCGCCGGATAAATATTATTAAACATCCTAATATGTGTCACTTCCTTGTCGAATTGGTTCATTGCCATAATTATCTCTAAACTTTTTTGAATTGTATCTTTGAATCCATTTTTCATCTTTATGTGACCGGCCTACGGCCGGCACATAAAAATCCGGTAGACTTTTGAGAGGTCAGGGTACACATAGGATAGCGGGGGTAAAAAAATAACGGGGGCACTCAAACTTTTTATGATATAAGTATTTTTAAATATGCTTTTTTCGGGCTGTAAAAAACTCTTAGTATATTTTTTGGTCCTCTATCGAATGGCATTTTCAAAATATCGAAAATCTTCAAAACGCCGAAAATTTTTTCCCCTGTTATCCTATGTGCCGCCCATAGTTTTCAAAATAATTTTTAGGCTATAAAACTTTTATAATACATTTTTCGCGTTGTAAAAAAATCTCTTAGTATATTTTTTGATACTCTATCGATTCGCGTTTTCAAAATAACGAAAATCGCAAAAATTTGGCTTTAACCCCCTGTTATCCTATGTGCTGCCCATGGATTTTGATCAATTTTTGTTTATTGATAAAAATTTAATTTGCATTATTTCGGGCTGAAATTAATTTCCTAGGGCAGTTTTCGACGCTTTATCGAATGACGTTTTCAAAATACCGAAAATTTCGAAAATTTCGAAAGGGTGACTTTCCCCCGTTATCCTAGGTGCTGCCCATAGATTTTCCTCAATTTTGGTTTATTCAATAAAATTTCCTTTACATTATTTTGGGCTCAAATTAATTCTCTTAGTATATTTTTCGACGCTCTATCGAATGGCACTCGCAAAATCCCTCAGTAATTGCAAATTTCATAATAATGAGTGCCCCCGTTATTTTATTCCCCCCCGTTATCCTATGTAAAACGAGGTCAGAGTCATGTTGACCTAGCAGTGGCCAGTGGAAAACTGCCGCGAAGCGGCTTTTTTCCACTGGTTTTAGATATTCTCTTTTTAGTTTCAGAGCTGCCAATCAGTCATTTAAATTTAAAGCCAGATACAGATCGAGTTAACACCTCAGAAATTAATCTGATTTGTTGAAAACGTTGGTATTGTGCTTCTCAAAACGGACGTTGAATCTCATTTTTAATAAAATTTCCACTATAATATGTTAAAATCAAATGAAATCAGGAATACCGCCCAATAGCAACATCCAAATTTGTGTGGTCCTGTTATTTAAATATAGCCTTAAACTGGCTAATAATACCGAAAATCCTGGCGTTCAAAAAATTGCTGAAATTAAAAGGGTGTTTCTAGACCCAGTGGAAAACAATTTTTTCCAGATTGCGTAATCCTCCGACGAATCTGACCTCTAACTTATTTAAAATAGGATATTTGCCTAAATCAACTCAAAACTTAAAATAATTAAAATAATCTTCTACATTAAATTTGGAATTCATAAAAATGTTTCTTTCCAAAGGCAAGAGTACGAATTTCGACAGCCCCGTAATTCTTAGATCGGCCGTATCGTTTCTTTTCACGGGAGTCGATTTGAGAATTAGCATTTTTGCTTTAAATCTTCTGGAATTAAATGAGATTAAATTAAATCATCGGTTTCTGCGGATTTGGATCAATTTTAAATGCAACTTTAAAGCCCCAAGGTAATTAAAATTTGTAAAATGTTTCATAACATAGGCAGGTGACATGTTTCCTGGCACTCTTAATACACTGTTTTTTTCTGAACAATTCAATTTCAATTACCTTCAATTTCCAGGCTCAACAAAATCTCCGGTGGAAGCGACGCCTTCTGGCCGTACTCTCAATTCTGTTGCCCTTCGTCTTCACCCTATTCTTTGCCCATTTCCTGCATTGCGTACCTTACAGTAAGTTACCGTAGTCAAACGTACTAGTAGATTCTGTCAATAATATATTGACCAATTCAAAGTTAACAAAAAACCATCAGAATTGTTTTTATTAGAGTCAGTGATCAATCGACAATTTTTCAAGCAAGCAACAGTATTTTTTTAGCAACACATTTTTTACCTTGTTTTTTTCTGTTTCAATGGGACGAACAAGGCAAAACTATGGGGTTTTTGGGACTGGTTTCGATGGTTTTTTCTACATGTAAATTTTGCTTTGTGTAGTGGATTATGGTACCTTCTTGGCGCCAGCGTTACGTGCGCGTTGCGTGTCGCGGGGCGCGGCAAAATCCATAGGCCTGCCTTGCCAATACCTTTAATGAGCTTTTCTGATTTTCTTCTCAAGGCTTTTAGACAAGAAGACATTTAAAGTCGAAGCGAAATTACGTTTTTCTTTAATTAGCACAGTTTCGAGCGATTTTTAAAAATTCAAAGATCGACGATAAATATTTACAGTACGTAATCGTTTAAATTCTTTAAATTTTTACAACACCTAATCTTTTAACTTTATTAAATAAGGTTATGTCCTTAGGCGGCGTCCGGTCACTACCCCGAAAAGTCACTACCCAAAGTCACTACCCCGGAAGTCACTACCCCGAAAAGTCACTACCCCGAAAGTCATCCGAAAGTCACTACCCCGAAAGTCACTACCCCGAAAAGTCACTACCCCGAGAAGTCATTACCCCGAAAAGTCACTACCCCGAAAAGTCACTACCCCGAAAGTCACTACCCCGAAAAAGGTTAGCATTGTTTTTCCCGGAAAAATCCAGTTTTCATGCGGTTTTCCTATGAAAATCATGCAAATTATTTCGGGGTAGTGACTTTTCGGGGTAGGGACTTTTCGGGGTAGTGACTTTTCGGGGTAGTGACTTTCGGGGTAGTGACTTTCGGGGTAGTGACTTTACCCCTCCTTAGGCGTCGATCTCAAATTACGGGCTTAAGTATTTGAAACAACATCTGCCTCGAATTACACCGATTTTTTTGGTGGTAATGACCAGCTTTTTGAAACATAATTTTTTGTTTTTGAGTATTTTTAGGTTACGAGCTGTTCTGCCTCTCCGAATACGCGACGGTCGCCACAATATTTGCATTCCACGTGACTACGGTGGATTTGTTGCAATTTGACGTGCTGCTGGTCCACAGAAACTATAGACCGCATCGGGTCAAGATGTAAAATAACAATGTTTCAATAAATCGATGCTTTTCTCTCTTTGGAATTATGTTAATTGCAAGCACATTCGTTTTTCACTTCCGAATCGTTTTGAAAACTGGGATGGCTGATTGGCCACTGAATTAGCATCTCATTCAGTTGAAGCTAAGGAAATCTGTCTCTGTCGCTCCCTGTCGCTCTCTGTCTCTCTCTCTCTCACTCCCTCACTCCCTCACTCCCTCCCTCTCTCCCTCTCCTTCCCTCTCTTTCTCTCTCTCTCTCTCTCTCTCTCTCTCTCTCTCTCTCTCTCTCTCTCTCTCTTTCTCTCTCTCACTCTCCCGTACTATCTTTCCTTTTCTCTCTATCTATTTCTCCATCTCTCTGTCTCTGTGTCTCTCTCGCTTTCTCTCTCTCCCTCTCTCTCTTTTCTACAGTATCGTTTAGACAGGAAAAATGTTTCAATCAGGTGATACTTCCTGGCAGTATCGCAAAATATAATAAATTGACGTTTTTTCAGAAATTTAAATTACTATCGAGATTTTGCTAGTACTTTCTGAAACTCTTAAGTATCTGGCTATCTAGCTAGAAATATCTTTTAATTGCAAGTCTTTATGTACATTTGTCAAAATCAAAGAGTAGCGTAGTTCTTTTGGGATCATGCCAGGCTTTTCGTGGCTCCAAGCTTCACCCTCCCACGGATGCTGCTACCTTTTCGGCGTTTCGAGTCTGAAAGCGTAATTCTAATTAAATTTTAGAAAAAATAGTTGGGGGCCGGGGTTTTTTGGTTGTTTTTTGGGGTAAAATAAACGTGTTTCATAAAGAATAGTTACGACAAAAGAAATCCAAATCCTGATTTACAGTGACATGCACCGTTGTGCTGGCTAGATTTTGACAGAATAACGCCGGATGCTTTTCGGTTTATTTAGTTAAGTTTTTTTAAAAAATTTTAATTGGTTTTTTGTAGTTGACGAAAAATCTCGTTATGGCCTACCTCGCTTTTCGGAGACTTTGGACGCAGACGGTGAGGTTCGTTGACGTATTGACATCTGAATTAAAATAAATCTTCATAAATTTTCAATAATCTATGCTAGCTAATTTAAAATAAGAAGTTTAATTTTGCATTATTGAACGGGGTTCCCGGAACAAATTTTAGGGCCAAGTTCCCTAAGCTTTCTCTGCTAATTTGCCACCATAATCTTTATTTCCAGTTAAACCCATACCTTTCGTGGCCGTGCTATCAAAATTCCAATCTCCATAATTTGGATGACAGCATTGGTGAACATTGCTCTAAATAACTTCAATACATTTAATCGTTAAAAATACCAGCAAATAATACACAATTGGAAAAAACCACGTTTCAGAAATGAACGATTTTCGGCATTAATATTTCTTAGTAATGGGTTTTCGATAGTTGGTAGATGGACACCATCCCGAAAGACACCATCCCGAAAAATTTGCATGCGAAAAGTCAGCTCTACTATAAAAAAGGAGCTATTTTTCTATGCTAATGAAGTTTTCGCATGCAAATTTTTCGGGATGGTGTCTTTCGGGATGGTGTCCATAATTCCGATAGTTATTACTCGACTATAAATTTCAATTTTTCATAAAAACCGTGTTTCTCGTAAAAGTAGTAGATGAATTATGCAGGCAGTTTTGCTTGACTTATGCTAAATTTGGGTTTTAGTCATCTTTCCTAAAAGTCATCTTTCCTAAAGTCATCTTTCCTAAAAGTCATTTTTCCTAAAAGTCATTTTTCCTAAAAATCAATATTTCTCAGTTGGTTTTTTTGCAAGAAAAATTTTTTTTGGAGAGGCCCGGGCCGTAAAATTTTAATGTCTCCATGCCGTACTAGACCTTTTCGGGATGTTTTGATATAAGTTATGCTATCTTTGAATTCATAAAACTATTCAGAAATCAAAAAAATAGGATAGGCTCTGATGCAACTAAGAGCTTTTATGAGGACTGACGGCGTTCAGGGCATTTTGCCGTTTCTACACAGGAAACAGGTTTGAAGTTAGGCGGAGGTGGCATCCCTATTCGCATACCTAACTTCAGGAAAAATTAATCTTCGAAAAAAATGGTTTTTAGAAAAAAGTGATTGAGGAAAAATAAAAATTTACGTTTAGATTTGAAATATTGGTTAAACTTTCCACCGGTTTGCTATCATTTTGTCATCGAAAACCATTTTATCGCAATAAATTTTGTCGAAATTTCGTTTTGTCGAAATTCGAATTTACGAAACTTTTGAGAACATTAATCGAGGCAAAAATAAGCATTGAAATTTCGAGAGAATGAATGTCGACAAAATGAACTTCGACAAATTGACTTTTCGACAAAATGAATTTCGACAAAATGAACTTCGACAAATTGACTTTTCGGCAAATTGGAAATAGGCTTTTCCAATGTTTCTGGCACAAAAGACCCTAAAAATTCTTTGCCTTGAATTTCCGTGTATTCAAATTTCGGTGTAACCGATTGATTCAAAAGAATTTTTGGAGAAGCGTTAGTACATTTAAGATTTCTCGAAATCGGTTCGGGCGTAAAGGGGCCCTGCAAGACCTTTATATTTGCTACCCGCCCGTTCCGATGCTCCCGTGATTCAGGGCGGGTCAAATTTTTCGGGAGCACCGTTTCGAAAAAAGCTTCCGATTTATGCAAATTACGGGGGCGCGTCACGGGACCGCGACCAATTGTTGACCGATCGGAAGTGTGCTCAAATCGAGGCGGTAAATTTTCCGGGCTGGAAGCCCTTAGTAGAGATTGTATAGATATTATGAGCCAGCTAACAGAGGTATTTTGGTAATTAGCAAAGATGTTTAGGGTTTAGGGCATGGTAGTGGAGGTTTTTCAGGAATTAGGGCCTTCTAGCAGAGAATTTATAGGAATTTGAACATCAGCAACAGCAGAGACGTTTTAGGAAATAGGGAATGCTAGCAGAGGTTTTTGAGGAATTAAGGAGGGCTAGCGCAGACTCTTGGGAATTAACGCATACTAACAGCAATACCAGGTATACCACAGAACAGACCACAGAACCTCGAAATTTTGGTTATTAATTAGAACGATGAGCATGATCAACAGCTTCAAATTGATTTAAAAAATACGTCTACTTCCGGAAAATCGCTAAAACATTTTTAACTAAAAAAATCGGTGGTTTTGTTGTAATTTTACTTCCTAAAGCGGTTGGCTCGGATTGTTGAAGGGAGATAGATCCTATCATACTTTTTATTTCTTATTTAAATGGTCCAGTTATGAAATCGTAAATTCATCCTTGATAGTTTACAGATGCCCTCCGAACACTGTTGAGATTGTCTTCATGAAGGACCAGTGGATCCGGGACCTTGGTAAAACAGACAAATCTTCCGGAAAACTCTTGTTTAGAATGGTCGTGTGGCAAGCAGCGCTCCTTCAGGAAATCTGGCATATCCTACTACAGGGTGTCCCAAATACTACTACATGTGTGTGTGTGCCACTTTGCATCCACTTCCGTCTGTCTGTCCAAAGCCTATAAAACACCTAACTTGTAAAATGGACAAGTGTAACGTGGTGTTTTTTAACAAAATTAAGCAGTCTGGAAAACCATGTAAAGTATCAAAAGTATAACATATACCATAGCAGAAAAAGGTAATTTAGCAGACATGGTATTTTAACTGCTTCTCAAGCCGTTTTTAAAATGTCAGAAGCCTTAGTAGCATCACCGGATTGCCACTCGCATATTTTCTTGACCTACTAAGCGTTATGAAACACGTGATTTTGCGGACTGGAAAATAAACATGATTTTCAAAAATAATGAAAAATTCTGGCAAGCCATGAACGCTATCATAAAGATGGCGTATCACGATACCGTACAAAAGAAGGATCATTTAGATGACATGAATCTTTAAATGTAACTCTAACATTTTTACAACGTTAGGATTGGCATCGATAGCAACGCGATCATATTGCCACTCGAAACGCCGCTCGGACTATCTCGTTTTATAAAACACCTAATTGCGCGAATCGGACTTTTGAAAACTCTGTGTAAACTGAATAGCCAATGTTTCAGTTTTAAATAACGCTGTTTGAAAATTGTAGGTCTCAATGCGGCCTCAGGTTAAGTTTGTCAGTCTTGCAGGCCTCTAAAAATGCAAACAAGTAGAAAAACTTTAAAAGTAAAAAAGTTCTTTTTCCGATTATTTTCCCTACCGTACCATCTGGATACGGTAGATACCGGTCTTGTACTACCGTCTTCATGTTTACACAGGTACCAGGTGCAAAACAGGAACTTGGGTATACCACAGGACTGGATGACTAAAAAAACTAGTGTATACCTTGGCTCCCTTACAATAGAAAAATTTCCATAGCGGCAACCAGACAGAGGAAGGCGTAAGCTGGATCGTAGCGTCCTGCCCAAAGAAAGAACAATACGTACCCGATAAAACAAAAGGGGAAAACGACGAGGTGCGTAAAAAACAGTCCCAACCTCGGTATACTTTTCTTCTTCAGCTCTCCCAGACTTTTTTTAATATGAAAACTTGCAGCACTACACACAGCAATGATACACATACACTATAATGCAGCAATGTTATATATAATGCGAAATCGCCATCGGTTTATACCTCCAGCCCTAATTCAATACAAAGGCTAAGAAAGATACTGAAACCATCGCTATATTCTTGAGTAAAAAAAATGTTTCCATCATGTATTGCGTCGGCGCAAAGGGCTGCGTGGCAATTCGTTGTCGTTAGTTTCCCTTGTCTTACACTTTTTCCATGTTTCACTTTTTTATCAAAAAAAAAACATTAGATCATTAAGATCATTAATAGGTATGCATAGGCGGGAAAAAAATTAGTTCCCTTTTTTAAGAGCGAAGAATTTTTATAAAAGTCCTTTTCAGCCATTAATTCAGTTAAAACGTTTCCGCGCGGATTTTGTGGATTTCCGATTCGTGGATTCGTCGGTAGCGTGATAAATTTTTTATATTTTATTTTTAAATTATACAATTTACTAAAAAAAACGTTCAACTCTGATTCAAAATCTGTGTCGCGGGTTTTACACCCCCAGGTTGGGATGGCGCCAAGTCTGTGTTTATTCAATCGGCCCGGAGTTGGGGATGTCCCCCCTATTCTGCGCCTCTCCCCTACCGTACTCCCTCTCCTGCCCTACCCCCTCGGGTAAATTCCCGCACACTCCACTCAACCCCCTCCGGCGAACACATTCGCGCCCGGATGCGATTTCAAGCCCTGGGGGGATGGCTGCTACATTCCTGCAAAGTGGGCGGGGCCTAGCTTTTGGAGGTCGTGCAAAATCCGTATCATTTCATGTCGTCATCACTTTTTTGCGGCAAAAATAATTTTTTGGATTTTTATATATGTTTCACTGAATGAAATAACAGACCTGGTTAAGCGCTTCATAATACGTCCTCAATCCAACATAAACCAATAGTGCCTGCTCGTTTGAACCGGATATGGTGTGCTCGTGCTCAACCTAGCCTAGCGTCATCCTGAAGTATATTTGGTACTGAGCTGTTAGCGGGGGGGCTGGGGTGTAGCGGCAGGGCCTAATTTTTAAGACGAAAAATAACTTCCGGTCTATATAATTTTACACATTTTTTGTATATAAAAAGCTCATAAAAATGATTAATATTTCGTATTGTTGCTCAAAAATTTACATAAAAAACGGCCAGAAAAACTCTAAATTTTCGATTTGCAAAAATTATTGATTCTTTTTCTTTTTGCGCGAAAAACGACGATTGAGTCACTATAGAAATACGCGGTATGTGATATCAGCAGGCGGAAAAGCAAAAAAATACCCCCACCCCCAACCCCTAACAGTCCAGTACCAAATGTCGTAGGGGCAAGTCGACTCACCACGCTAACATTGTGACCTAACCATAAAAATGTTCCACTCAGCATCACCTTTGAACTGAGGTAATGATCGTCAATATGCTAAGGGGCCGTGTCAGTATTAGTGGTACTCTACGAATGAAAGCGACAACTCGGGGCGATGGCAATGGTCTCGAAAAACGTCCGTTAATGGGCCCTACATCATTTCGGCCCGAAAATTGAGGCCCTGACTTGAAAGCCTTAATTTTGGTGTTCCAAAAATAAGGCTCAACATGAAAGAGAACTCCAAACTGGACACCAGACTTGCTCGATAATAAGCAAATTTACTGAAACATATTGAACTTCGCAAATTTTGATTAAGTTTTGTGATCAAATGCGACAAGTTTTTCAATACTTACATAGAGATAGACCTTGACATTGGTACATTTTATAAAGAATATTTTTCTGAACAAGATGCACTGGCTGGTTTTTTTTTCTAAAACCTATTCTGAAGCCTTTTATGCCTATCGAACGTACCTGATTTGTGGCTTTTTAGGTTTAAATCGTTCATAAGTTTCGGAAATGGCTATTCCACAAAAATTTTTACAAATATAATATTTGGAATCAGCGTAAAATTCTGCACTAGACAGGCTTGGCCCGTATGGAAACCCGACCGTCACTAAGAACGCTTACTTGCAAGACTTTAAAAATGAAAAGTAGGTGTTTCAACAAAAAATCTCGCGGATTTCAGCTAAATTACGGATTAATTGGGCCTGCGGTCTGATCATTGCCTTTATCTACCTCGCTCTCTCAATCACTCTCTCACCCTCTCGCTCTCACTCTCTCAAGTTCTCTCTGGCCCGCTCTGGCTGTCTCCCCCTTTTTGTCATGCTCTCTCTGGCTCTCTCACTCTCTCCCACTCTCACCTCCCTCCCTCTCTCTTCCTCTCTCTATCACTATCTCTCTCGCTCTCTCGCTCTCGCTCTGCCAGACGATGATCGTCCCCTCCAGAACTCTTCCACGTCCACTTTTTGTCTTTGCTGGTCACTTTTTTCTACCGTGTCCGAGTCAGTGTGTATGCCACTGTCCTTCTACGGCATTCTCTTGAATAGATGGTTGTTGGGGGTGTATTCAAGTGTCCACCTCCAACGTGTGTCCCTTCTCCATGTAGCGGGTTTTCGGGGTTGCGTGGCCCTATTGTCTACCCCTTCACACCCTCTCACCGTCCGCCCGAAACAAACGCAAAATCCACACCCCACCCATGGACAGTCAGACAGACATTGTCACTGTCACATCTACACAACACGCTTGCCTTTCCACGCTTCCGATCGGCTGCTTGATTTTTGTTTTCTAAAATCGGCTACGGTTTACGTTACCCGACCCCCTGCCGGCAGGTTTTAGCTATAAGTTATTTATTTTACATTATTGTAGGCTCAAATTAACACCCTTAGTATATTTTTTGACGCTCTATCGAATGGCGTTGCAAAAATCCCGACAAAATAAGCGAAAATACCGAAAACTTCGAGACCCAAGGGCTGTGGGGGGGAAGTAAACTCTTACCCTAAAACGTTATGACTTCCGTTGATTTTTCATCGTTCGTTCCTACAGGGTGTCCCAAAAAAACCCACCCCCTCTAGCCGGGCGGATTTCTGCGATTTAGGTATCTATCGAAAGCTCTCAAAAAATCGAACCCCGCACCTCATTCCGATTTCCGAATGCTCGGAATTTTTGTGCGCACACTTTTTGTCAAAATCCCGATCTAACCGGTTTAAGCGCCATCCAACTGTGTTTTTCCAATGCCTTTGAAAAGGCGACCTTGGGCTACTAGGAAAGATGTAAAAATTTGGAAAATTGCGGGTTTTTGTGAAAAACACATGCATGGGAAAAGCAGCGAAAAATCGGCCAAATTCGCAAAAATGTTAGTAAATGTTATAAAAATTCGGAGATTTCAAAAATCGTAGAAAATATAGCTCCTCAGCTTGTCGAGAGCTTTCGGTAGATACCTAAATCGTCAGAATCGGACATCACTGCCGACCGCCAGCCGGGGGTCTTTTTTGGGGCAGGCATGAGCACAACTGTGACGTATTTTTAATGCCAGGACGGGAATACTTTTGTGCTTTTTTTTCTGAAACATACTTTTTTTTCTCGCTCCTTTCTATCCATATTTTTTTTGTAGGTGTATCTTGGGGGTCAGATTCTTGTCCTTTTTTTTGCTTTTGATGTTGTCAAACACAAAAAAAGTGTCGTATTATACCAACCCATAAGAAATTAAGTCGCACAGTGCATTTTTGTCTAGTTTGGACTTTAAAACATAACTTTTATTGTTGTCTTTCCCGAATTTTGAGCATGTTCAAACTGGCTTTTTTGCAGGTATAATGCCGATTCTCCTGAGGTCTACGATATTCCGGCTAACGTGCCTAATCTCCACCATAAATGCTTTAAACTACGACACGCTACGCGACCCGATTGTACTCACGGTTAAGCGGGAGAATGGTATAGAAAATCGATTTTCTTTAATACTGATTTATTGCCTTTTTTAGCCCAAAAATTTGGCGGCAAGAATTTCTACGCGAGCGATAAGGTAAGGGAATTTTAACGAATTTATATACCTTAATTTTAGCCCTTCAACATGGAGCAGAACCCCTACAAGCAGAATTTTGTGAAGGCTTTTGAGATTAGTAAGTTTTAGCAACAGCTCAAAAGGCCAAATTGAGCTGGAGTTAAGTCAAATTAGGGTAAACAATAATGAAGCATATAATTTTTAAAAAAACCAGGGTTGAAAATGAAATGAAATGAATGAAATGAAAACAATAATGAAGCATATAATTTTTAAAAAAAACCAGAGTTGAAAAGCCGCTTCGCGACTTTTCAACCCTGGCCCGTCTTATCCTAATACTTCTATCACTTTGCATAAACACCTGAATTCCTGTGCAGAAAAATCAAAAACGCGTCCTCTCCCCCATTATATAGGCTGCCCCCACTTCCGGTGTATGCTAATTGATTCCTAACAAAGAGGCCCAGCTAGAGCTAGCTAGCTAAGCCTTCTTGTATTTTTCGCCATAATCGATTCCACTGCCGACTAGCTCGCTATTATCGAAACATATATCGTTTGTGAGAACTTGAAACCCGCAACATTTTTTTTTTGAAATATCGGAACGAGGAAACCAACTATTTTTTTAAGACCCAATTTTTAGTATACCTAGAGGAAGTGTTTCTGCAGCGTGCTTTACCATTATTAAACGCAAAGCTAAAAGTATTTATTAAAAAAATTCTAAAACCTCGATTTTCGCGCAAAAATAGCCATTTTCGATTTCACTGTTTTTAGGGAGTTTGCCACTTAAAATATGGTTAAATTTTACTAAGAAAACACAATGAAAAACAATGCAAAAATTTGCTATTATGCTACTGGGTATTGCTAGTCCCTCCCCCCGATAATGCGAAATAACTAAATTCCAAACTCATTAATTATACTACTCATTTTAGACGTGGACAGCGTGGACTAATTAGCCCAAAATATAGCTATCTGGCAACTCGTTCGTTTGAAACATTTGCCTAAAAAATTTTGAAAGCTGAAATGAAATTAAAGGGCTGGAGAAAGATGGAATTGCTGAAAGGGCAAAGAGGGTCGCACCGGACGGGGGTCGAACCAGGGATGGTCCACCCCGCAGTCCGATGCGCTAGCCAGTACACCAAAGAGTCGAGCGGAGAGGGGCGGCGGAGGGCCCCCACATACCCTAGGGCGGTTCGCCACCTGTACAAGAACTGCCATTAGAAATAAAGCAATTTCATGGCGATAATAGCTAAAAAATGTTGTAAAAAACCTAGCTAAAGGATAGCGACGCACTTTGCAACTTTCTAGAGATGTTTTGCTGTCTATGCGCCTCTTTTTCAGCCAAAGCAGTGTCCCAAAACCCCGTATGGCTTAGAACTTGGCCGCCTTTTATCCAATCCGGCTCAAATTTTTACCATCAATGCGTATCACTAAGTCCTCGATCTACGGAAATTTTTAGTTTAAAACATTGCTAAATGAAAAAGTTATAGCCAATAAACTGGTTTCTTCAAACGAGAGAGGGGGTTTTGGGGCGCTTACGCGAGGGAAAGTGTCGATGGTAGCGCCGCGGCGGTCCGTCACCCCGACGGACGCCGGCCCATCTTCCTCCAGCCCTTTAATTCTCGTATGCCTAATTTCTTAAATATTTCAATGCTTTTGCAGGTTTGCCTGATAAAAAATAACAAAGAAAGTAGTTTAAAAAGTGCCTTTAAATTCCCTAAATTTTCAGAGAGCAGCGACCTGAAGCCGTTCAAATATTCGTTTAATTCGGCGCAAGAGCCCGGCCGGACCATCATCATCCCACCGCAGCAATTCATCGTAGGATAGCTTTTAAATTCGTTACTCTATTATATTATTTTTGTGAACTAAAATTAGAATATTATTATTCATTATACTTATACAATTAATTATTCTATTTTTAGCAAAACCTTGCGCAAAGTGTCGTCCAATCCCACAAAAATGTAGAGCCCACGAAAAAGTACGTTACTCAGCAGCAACAGGATCGGAAAAGTCTTGTGGTATGTTGCTTGATCTGTTCATTAAGTACCAAGCATTAGGGCGCGTAAGTTTAAGGATATACAAAACGACACGAAACATACATTTTTCCACCCTTTCAACCTTGCGGGATTTACACAACGACTCAGGCGAGAGAGAGAGAGTTAGATGGAGAGAGAGAGAGAGAGTGAGAGCGAGTGAGATAGTGCGAGAGAGATAGAGGTAGAGAGAGAGCGAGAGATAGAGAGAGAGGGAGAGATAGGGAGAGAGAGAGGAGAGAGAGCCGAAGGTATGCGCCTTTGCGTCTTTATTGTTTTATTGCTTTTTTTTGCTGAAATCTTTTCTACAATTCCAAGAAACCATTGGATCTGAATTTGGAAACCTCGATTTGCCGCAAAAAGTGTTTCATAGCTGGAGGCTATCTGACAAACTTCTTCGCCCTTAATTCCGGCAAGGAAAAGATTTTATTAAAAACTCCCTGACTTCTAACTCATAGCTAATGACAAGATTTTCGCCGTAATAGCTGAAAGAATTTGATTACAAATTAATGATTAAAAAAAATGTTGTTTTGATAACGCTTGTAGGTTGTATTTGACGTTCATAAACTCGATTTTTGTTCAAAAAATAGAAGAGGTTATTTTCCTGCCTGAAAAATCAGATGTTTTAAGCTTCTCCAATATGAGCTAGCTTTAGAATGCAGATAATTTTGTATGTTGAGGATCTCTGCCATAATCTTCTTTAGAGGCTCGAAGACGACCCATCCCTTTTCACGAACAATTACGTCGGGGCGCATAAATCGGCGGAGAAAAATGGATGTTGCTTCGAGCCGCAACCATCAGCAAATGCTTACACAGGTAATTCGCGCCCGGAAGATGTTCGCAAAGTTAAGCTCGAATAATTGGTTGCTAAACGAAATAAAAACATATTAGTTAATCAATCTTTTCAGGACCAAAATTCCAAAATACGCCACCACAAAGCGCTGAATTCCGGCCGTTCCCAAAACAATTCTCAATCCCCATCAAAAGCCTTCAGCAATTCAAGGAGAAAGAGGTAGATTTGAAAAATATGTTTCATTACAAGTAATAGCTTCACCCTTATTTGGAGCCGTACTTCTTCTGTCTTGTGAAATCGTTCTGAACGTCCATAAAAAAAGAAAACAGCTAATTCGTTAACTTTCGCAGTGCCAGAGTTTTTAACATTTTAAAACGATAAAATCTTGCAAAAAAATTTATTTCGGGATGACGGCAACAAATCGACATTAATCATTCCAGCCGCTGGCTACCCATAAAAAATCTTGTCACATTTTTCTATTAAAAACACGGATTTAGAAGTATTTTTAATGATTTAAAAGCATTTAACCGGCAAATAAGAATTTTTTTAATTGAATGACTACACCCAACTCTGCAATCTCTTCTAGAGGGATTATTTGAACGGCGTGGGGTCGCTGCTCGCTCAAAATTAAGGGTTTTTTGGATGTAACTGGACAACAGGGTTTCCTCTGCTTAAATAGTTTGAATTCAGCTTTGAATTTTTTTTTATGCTTAGGACTCTATGTTTTTATATGCACTATCGTAGAGCGGGCAATTTTCATCATTCTACACGTCGCCAGTAAAGAATATGATAAGGAGTAAAAGTTAAAAAATTATGGGTTTCGACGGCCCGCCACCTATCCAAAATGCTGAAACATGTTTTTTTAACTAAAAAACGCGAATTAGAATTTTTGAAAGTCAGGCTGTGGAATTACAATAAATTTTAGTGGAAAACTATAACCAACTCTGCAAAAGCAAATTTTCTAGAACACTAGGCTAATTTTTTGTGTGATTTTTTCTTAATGACCCGACGATTTTAGAACCAACCGCCAGTCTCCACATCCCGAGAACAATTACGCCATGTAATCCCCACGCCCAGCAGTACGGTATTGCCGATGCGGATGCGTGTAGACATCATCCCCGACTCACCTCCACCTACCGTAATCCGGGCACCGACCGCCAGCTCGGGATCACAGATGAATCAAAAGGTACGGTCCGCGTTATAGTGAATACCGTAATTTTAAGCGTAATTTTTTTTTGTTTGAAATACAAGTTCAAAATATTTTAAAGGTGGATAAACAAGGAAAACCTGAATGAGCACTGTTTTCGCCATAAAGAATGCATTTCATTTTGGAGTCTGTACCGGAAGAAAACGATTAAACGAAACCAAAGCTTTTTGGAATTGGAAATTTTTGAAATATACTTATTTTCAAGTTATAGTTTTTTGCAAAGATTGAGTTCTACTTCCAGATGAATTTTAAAGTATTTATTTGTGTTTTTCGTTCCTAAACCTTACAAAAACAAGGTTTTTAGTGAAGCCACTAAGATTAAGCGATAACCAAAATCATAACAACTCAAGGATTCATTAAAAGATGCTCACATGCCTTCTTTGAAGGTTAATATGAAACATCACGCCTTTCTCGCTTTCGTTTTGACGGGTTAAATATAGCATTTTTCACGGAAGAAGGAAGAGCACCTCAAGCTTACCCTAAACTAAGCCGAAACTTTACTAATTTAATTCCATTTTCTCTATTACCAGCCTGGCAAAAAATAATTCAGAAAGCGTGCAAAGCCATTACATTAAAGGAATTATTACATTACATTACACACATCTATCACAATAATACCATAAAATCCCGCGGCCGGTCCAGGACATTTTTTGAAACATATTTTTCAAGTTATTGGCAGGTTCTTCAAACTTCAAAAGTTAATAATGCGATGTGCAATAACACTAAAATAAAACAACCGATCATCCATCAATAAAAATGATTAAAATTAAATAAAAATAGTGAAACACAGATGATAAAATTCTAGCCCAGTAAAATTTTCTATGAAGGCTGTTGATCTATTAAATTACAAAGCTTTTGTCGGAGGTTGTCGAAACAATGTAAAAGCTTATGTTTCAGACATCAGCTTCCTCTGAAAAATACGTGGTGCTCGATCGTCAGCCAATTACCTACACGAAGGATGTGTTCGACTGGGACCCAAAATCGACGGAAGCCGAATATGTCGCACCGACCAGGATTGGTACGCTAGCCCTTATTTTTTATAGTTTTGAATAATTTATAACGTAAATTAGAATTAAAAATTTGCCAGGAAGAATTTTCAGCTCACATAATTAGCCCGTCTGTAAAAAATGTAGCGACCTTGAAAGAGCGTTTTACACGTAGGTAATTATTTTTCCTTTTATGCTCTTTCCCAATAGACCAATCAAATTTTTTATATCGGTTTAAGTTTTCCGCCTCTTGAGCTACAGGTCGGTAAAATGATGTAAAATCCACTACGCACAAATCGTACAAAATGGAGAAAAAATTGCCGCGACAGAACAAATAAAGCTCAAAAAATAAAATACCATTTTTGTAGAAATAATTAGGAAGGTGAAGTCAGAAAAGATGCGTTGTGCTAGGTTCTCCTAATTTTACGATGTTTTAGTGGCCCCAAAAATGCTAGTCCATCCGGTTCTCCCGTCAATCGACGGAATGGTCGAGTCGGTGCAACGCCAAAACCTAGCCGATCAACAGCGTCTCGCCGGCAATGGTCAGTAAGAATTTTTTAATGTAGTTTTGAGTAAACTGGAGCTAGCTTCAGAAGCTTAGATCAAGAACATAAAAGCCCCGAAAAAGTGTGTTTCATGAAAAGTATATCCCACAACCGGAAGGGGGTCATTAGTAGGCGACTACATTGTCGTGAATCTCCTTATTCCGGAAATTCAAGGCAGGGTGTCTATCATGATGTCAGAATTTTATAACGTCGAAATTGACAGAAGCAAATCTCGAAGAAAACTTGAATACTCTGTAAAAAATTCCGACTCTAAATTTCGATATTTTGGATTTCGACATTACTGAATCTCGAACTTATGAATTTCGCCAACTTGAACTTCGGCAATATGAGATTTTGATATCCATGATATAAAATTCGACGAGATTTCGACATAATCCATATGCTCTCCATCCTCGTCATTTAAAAAAAAAGTGAGTTTCGTCTAGGAAATGGCAGAAAGATAAAAATGTGGCATTCAATTTCCTCCCGAAAAATGCCGTTATCAAAATTTACTTTCATATGATCCAAAATTAACTAAAAAATCTTATTAAAATTTAAAAAAACGATGTGCAACTTGTGTCATATTCTGGAAAGGCGAGTTTTACCACAATCCAGTGGCTTCGAGACTCGTCATAAAATTTGCATAATTCGCTCCATTTTCGAATTTTCAGGCCTGCTCGACGTGTCCACGCAATACCGTAACCTGTGGACGTCATTGGCGCAGAATTGGCATCAGGTCGAGACGAGCATGAAAAAATTAGAAAATTTAAGTTTCACAAATTTACGTTGCTGCGGGATTATTTTTTTGTAATAATCTCTCCAGTAAATTAAGTCCAAAAATTTAAAGAGCTTCTAATCAACTAAAAGTCTTAATCCTCGCTTTTTAATAAACACACACTAATATTTAATACAACCCTACTACCACTAAAATTATACTTTAATTTATACGATGCGAGTACCTTTAATAAAACCATCAAATTTCAGCTGAAACAGGCCATCCTCAGCAGTGGGCTCGACAGGGATTTGGCGCAGATTTGGGACCGTTTTCATAGTAAGCTTTTGAATGGTAATACAACCTTACTACCACTAAATTTATAAATTATAATTTACAACTACAATTATAGCATTTAACCAGTGGAAAAAAGCCGCTTCGCGGCAGTTTTCCACTGGCCACTTCTAGGCCCACATGACTCTAACCTTCCCAAAAGCCTATCGTAAATTTATGTGCCGGCCGGAGGCCGGCCACATAAAGCTGAAAAATAGATTCAAAGATACAATTCAAAAAAGTTTAGAGATAATTATGGCAAAGAACCAATTTTGAGAAATCAGACACATATTAGGGGGTTTAAAATATTTATTCAGCGAAATATAATTTAAAAAGCAACGAACAACAACAATAACAACAACAGAAAAAGGTAAAAATAACAATAATAATAACAACAAATCAACAATGACAAAAGATTTAGAACTTATTCGAGGACTTCTTCGTAGACGACGTTCTTCATCTTGTTGTCCTTGGCCATTATCGAGACACCTTTGCGGCTCCGTGCTCTCGAGAGAGCAACATAAAGCTGGCCGTGTGCAAAGATTTCTTCGTGTAACATCGCAATGCCGACCTTTTCGAATGATTGCCCTTGACTTTTGTTGATGGTCATTGCGAAGCTCAGCCGAACCGGAAATTGGCGTCGCTTCAGCACGAATGGTAGTGTGGCTTTGTCATAAAGGCAATCAATTCGGGGATTAACACTTTCTTGCCTTTCCTGCTACCCGTGGCAATTGTGCAGAGGAGAATTCTGGCTCCGATTTGCTCGACAATCAGCCTGGTACCGTTGCAGAGACCCTTTTTGACGCTGAGGTTTCGCAGAAGCATCACGATGCAACCCACTTTTAGATGGAGCAGGTGGGAGGCATTCCAGATGGTGTCATCTTGTTTAGAAGCTCTGCGTTGAAGTTGGCAGCATCGGTTGGATCAGTAGTCTCGGCCGAGTCAGCACTTCTGAAGGTTTTGACTTCTCCGGGTAGCATATCCAAGATTCGATTGTTGAGCTCGAGAGCTTGTTCGTTCTTGGGTGTAAGGATAGCTACTTCCAGAAAGTTCAACCCCTTCATCAAAGGCTGGTCGGAAGACTGCTTCGGCCAAATCTTGCTCGCATCTGAGATCTTCGGGTACTTCGAGGTATCCCTCTTCGTCTTTGTCGAGTAGATCATTACCCAGAGCGAGAAGATAGTCCTTCCAGTCGTTGCCTGCATCCCGAACTCTCATGTTGGTCGTGAGCTCAAACTTGCGAAAGAGCGGCCAGAGTCGGGATGTCTTCAAGCAGGCTGACACCATTTCAGCACGACCACCGCCATCGACCACGGGAAGTACCTGTCGGAAATCTCCTCCAAGTACCATGACCTTTCCACCGAATGGCACATCGTTTTGCATAATGTCTTTAAGAAGAGCATCAGCTGCTTCGAGTGCTTCTTTCGGTGCCATTGGTGCTTCGTCCCAGATGATCAGGTCGATCTCAGCGAGTGCTCGCGCTTCAATGCTCTGCCGTTTCATGCTGGATTCCTTGTTGTTGGTCTTGATCAACAGACGGAAGGCTGTGCTGACTGTACGTCCTTCTTCCAATAGGTTGGCGGCAATACCTGTCCACGCTACCGAGAGAATCTTCTTGCCCATACCGGATAGAATGTGGTAGATGGTTTGGTAGACAAAGGTTTTGCCGCTTCCCCCTGGACCGTCAATGAAGAAGCACTGCCCACTTGGGTCTGCGACCTCGGCCAAGACTTCATCCGTCGCTCTGAGTTGTTCTGGATTCAATTGCAAGTATTTGTCGTTCCCGAGTCGAGCATGCTCAGCGGGATCAACAACGACGATGTCAATGTCGTACTTTGGCAAATTGAGTTGGAACAACGGGCTGTCTCTGACTCCGAGAACTGTCAGATCTTCGACAATTTCCCAGTAGGCTTTTGACTCAGAGACTTGGATGGAAAGTCCGCGAGCAAGGAAGTCCTGCATTAGGTCGTTCTTGAAGCGTTCCCAGAACGCCACAGGGTCCTGCACGTCAGCGAAGCAGATCAGGGAAGAGAAGAAGCTTCGAAGTTCTCCAGGCATCCGCACATCGGCGGCTTCCTGCATCGTAGCTAGGTTCACAGAGTCATCGTTCATGTATCCTGCTGCTTTGGCGGCCTCAAAATAGGTGTTGAATTGAGTGCCGTTGATAGTGCGCAGTTGTTCGAAGCTCCTGGGGCCTTTCGTATAGAGCAGAAGCAGTCTCATGGCAAAACGTTCCGTGTCTCGTGGAGAGACATGGTACATCCGGCCAATCACCCGCGACGCATTCTTTCGTTGCACCCATTTGCCTTGAACGATACGATATTTTTCCGGCATTTGGCCATAGAAAAATTCTCTGGAATCTAAGACCTTCTCTGCGTCCCTCCTTCTCCCGATCTGCAGACACTTTTGACCGTTAACCATAACCGCACTTGCTCCGGTATCCTCCAAATGCTGCATGTGCGTGTTGATGGCAAAGAATGCGCTCAGCGTGGTCTTATGAGTGCGAGCTCTATTCAGTGCCGCCTGTGCATCTTCTGGGTCAAACACCACATTTTCAAAGCCGTCAAGATGTACTTGGAGTCGGATGACTTTGTCGCTCTTCTTTTGCATGGGATATGCGAAAAGACGATGGCAAGCTTCGGGAGCGCACAAATAACGACCTTGTATGTACCGTTCGATCTCATTGACCGGTCCAAGTTCATCATTGTTTACATCCCGAAGTTGGAAGCGAGCTCTGTCAGTACCCTTATAGACGTATTTGAACAGGTATTTGACCGAGTCGAAGGAGAAGCAGCATTCGAGATTGATGTGAGCACCAAACCGAAGCAGGAGGTAGGGGTTGTACGGCACGACGTGACGGTTGTCAAGTACGACATCCACCCGGTTCACCGTATACCGAACATTCCTTCCCTGGTCTCGGCGCCTGTATTTTGGATAACCGTCCGAAATCAAAGTGGTATCTCTGAATTCTTTTGGAAATCCTTTAGTACAGGTATTGTCTTGCATGCAGGGCGACGAAGGATTATGGGCACCGCAAGGCCGATGGATCATATTGGTCGAAACCAATTGAAACAATTCAGGATTTACGTCGGAATCAGGGAGCTCAGCTGAGATGATGCTATCAACCTCGTCAGATGTTCTGAGCTTTGAATCCTCCTTCAAAAATAGGACCATATGACGGTGCGGGAAGCCCTCGTTTCTGGAATTCAATCACCGAAACGTAGGCAGCCATTTCTCCGAGGATGTGCTTTTTGAAAAGTTCCTCATCGAGTGCTCTCATTTTCAATTCGAACACTCTTGCAACCAAATCTGGACGATCAATTGCAGTCTGGCCTGGATAAAGACCTTCCTGAATTTCTCGCCAGTTCGGATTGCAAGTGATGGTCAAAAAGAGATCTGGCTTTCCGTACTTGGTCATAATGGCCACTGAATCCTGATAGTGTCCGACCGAATTTCGACCACTGCCTTGATGGCCGGCGCCCAAAATAATCTTTCTGCCTGCAGGACCTTGACCATGAGAATTCATGTGATCGGTGAGGCCACGGACCGTATCCAGCCGAAGTTCACGCTGGTGAGTCAGATAATAATTAAGCCTATTCTGTTCAGTCTTGGCGAAGGCATCCACGTAATATTGTTGGCAAAGTTTGCCGCCGTGGTGGATAGGATTGAAGCCTTGCCGGACGAACATATTATAGGCGAAATATTCTCGTTGAGATACCCGGTTCGGCGGACCATCATCGGCAATAGCCGGTTCGTCATCGTCAGAGTTACCACGACGGCCCGCATTTCCCACTTGCTTCGGAATGTTAGGGTGCCACCCCTCTCCACCCCGAGGGAAGAAGAGAGGATAACAGAGTGGTTCGCACTCTTTCTGCAAGTAGTGGATCTGCCTGAGGCCGCCGTCTCGCTCGTGGATATAGAACACGCGCTCGCCGGGTATCGACTCATCGTCACCAACGTAAACAACGGCAATCTCATTGGATGTAGGCGCATTGAACCGTCTTTGGTCGTCCCTTTTATCTGTTCGAAAGACCAACTGCGCTGAGAGAGCTTCCCGCCCATCGGCTGCTGCTTGATCAAATTCCTCTTTTGACACCTCTGCCATCATCATCAATGATTGAACATAGATATTGACGTTTTGCAGGAGGAGATGGAGGTTGGCAAAAAGGCCCTGATCGCAGTGCCGATTGATGGCACGACCGGCTAGCTCGTTGGCCGCTTGCTCGGTGTCCATAATATAGATCTGGGCATATTGGGCTTGCTCTCCAGGCTGTGGTCTCATAGGGCCGACCAAATGGTACACTGCTCCATGGATCCGATAAGGCCGTGGTCCTCTTCCGGGCGGAGCATCCATTTGGGCCGTCATTGAAGCCATAGCTAGACCGCTATTGTAATTTCGAATGTTCGCCCGGAAATCTTTCGATTCTCGAGTATCCCCTTTGTAAAGATCTTCCAATTCCTGGGGGAAATTGTCGAACAACGAAATAGCGATTTTGCCATGGCCGCAACACGAATGGAAACTGCCACTCGGGGATTTTGTTTCGACTGCATAATGCAATGCGCCACAGCAACTGCAAGGTATGTCCGGTTTGCCAAGATAGTGGATGGGGGGAAACGCATCCGGATTCCGAGCAGCACCTGCGCGCGCAGCAGCCGTATGGCGTCGTTGCTGCCGGTGAGCCGCGGCCCGAATAGCATTCCCCTCCAGACGCAATGCTCTTTGGGATGAGGATTCTCGGTGTCGTGAACTTCCCGTGGATATCGCATCACGACTAAGGCGCTCCGAACGCCGGGAAGGCGATTCTCTGGAGCGCCTCGCCGCAACACGCGCAGCCCGAGCGAGATTCTGAGTCTCACGTTCACTTGTGCTCAACCGAGACTCCTGCAACCTTTTAGAGTAGAGGTCCTTGGTTCGCCGTGCGGCTTGCTCAGCTGGGCTTTCATTAGCACGTAGCCCCCTCACCCGGGCAGTGGATGTTTCACGCAGTGCCCTTTGACTCGAAGTCGGCGTGACGGCACCAAAACGATTCGCGGGGCGCAGGGTTAGTGTTTCGTCATTACTCGACTGAGGGTCGCGTTGGCGTTTCGCATTACGCATTTTTTCGAGGCGATTTTCGTAACCCTCAGGAGTTTCCCTGGCCCGTTGAGCTCGCTTACGGGCCGCCTCAGCCTTCCTCTGCGAGTTCAAATGCGATGTGGGCGTGACGTTAGCTAGGCCTTCGACGGACTGCGCTGGGAGGTGCGATTGATCAGGAGTTCCCTGGGAGCTATGCACGCGTTTCGCACGCCTTGTCGCGAGTTGGGATTCATGCTCCTCAGGGGTTCCTCCGACTCGCGGTTCCCTCTCGCCTTCCGCGTCAGACTTTCGCTTCCGTCGCTCGCGTGAACTCGGAGTCTGGCTCAACAAAACCTCAGGCACTTCGACAGGACCTTGAGCAAGTACAGGATCGGCCGGGGTCAGCGGTAAACTTTGGTCGTATTCCAACCTCAGTTGTACACGTTCCGCGCGACTAATCTTTTCCTTCCTTCTCTGTATTTGTACAGGCTCAGGTTTTAGAACAGGCGCGGGTTCTATCTGCTGTCGAGGCACCCAAAGCTTCGAAGAATCAGGGCCCAGCGTTTGCCACGGGTTCGGAACGAAAAATCCCGGAGTCAGACAGCTTCTTTCCCGTATGGAGCGTACCGGTCGAGTTACTGCTGGTATTCGGCACCGAAGGCATTTTCACGATCTGCATGGGATGCCGCGGTGTTTGAGGATAGGCCGCGGGGTGTTGTCCCGGAAAACAGCTGGAGGGTGCCGCTACTCGCCCGGCCAATTGAACCTCGGTATTGCTACCTCTTCGGGTCCAATCGGCAGGCCCTCTGTTCTTCGTACCCTGCTGAGGCTCAGCTGTTTCCGACACCCTTACCGGGTCCGGCAGATCGGTACTGGTGCCAACAGGACCGACATCACGACCGTCAGGCCGAACCATCCCTTCCGGGTCTGGCTTGTCCAGCAACAGGCTAGCTGAACCCCTTGGCGTCCCAAGGGAGCGAGCGTTTGAAATTGTATGACCATCGGAGGACGACTCCCCCTTGAGCGTATCGGCCAAAAATTCGTCACCCATTGCTGGGGCGCTCTAGGAAGGTGGCTGTTCAGTGTTAACCTTTCGGCCAGCCACCCGGCAGCGCTCGAAAACCTTGGGGGTTATCACCTGGGAGTGGGTTAGGTGGGGGCGAGTCGGGCCGGGCTGGGGACACAGAGGGGTACTCCCCAGGCGCCCCAAAAGGGCGGCCCTCTCCGAAACAAAAACGGTAAAAAGGGAAGGATTTAGCACGTTTTGCTCTGTCTTTTCAGTCAGCCAATTACTTCCATTAGGCGCTGAGGAGCTGACGAAAAGCAATTTTACAAATTTGCGTTGTATGCGATGAAACTACAATATCTTCAAAAACTAACTATTTGCGCGTGATCCCCACTATCGAATACATAAGTGGACAAAATTACAGGCCAAAATTCCATCTGGGCGTCGAGTTATGGCCCGGACACCACGGGACTGTGGCCATTTTATTAAGGACCTTCTAGTAAATTGCTCATAAAAACTTTATTTTAAGGAATTTGGCAAAATCCAGAAAATAGTATCGGGAGAATTGTTTCTTCCATTCACCCTCCAAAAATCAGCGCCCAACTCCTCTTAGCGGCCGAGAAAACCTCCGGACATACCTTTTTTTCAGCGAAATGTTAAGGATTTTTCACTATTTTGGTTGTAAAATCGTCAAATAAAGGAATTTCGCAAAACAAAAAAATGCATCACTGACAAATGTGTTTCTCCACCTCCGTGCCAAAAATCAGCTCGAAATTCGGCCTGACGGCCGAGAAATCGGCTGTACAGAAAACAGACATACTTTTCTCGCTTATAGGATAGGATTTTAAAATTTACTTTTTGAAATTTTAAGTGACGATACCATAATCAAATCCGAAAGAACAAAATTGCAGCCAAGAAAGCGAAAAGGCTCAATTATCCCAACCACCCCCGCTTTACCATCAAGAGTATTTGAAACATTTCCAAGGCCGAGGATGAATTTTAATGGGCTTTTGTCCTCAAAAAATTGCGCTTTTCGAAAATTCCAAAAAATTCCAGCTATGTTTCTATAGTTTTTCAGTATTTTTCCATAGTTATTTCTATTTTTTGAGCTAAGATTTGTGGGTTTAGCTGTAGTTTAAGAAAACCTACTCTAAATAAATTCCAAGGTGCCGTCCGACCGTACATTAGCGATTTTGCGACGACGTTCGCGAGGGCGATAAAGTCAGCAGCGCGGAGACACCACAAACGATTGGCGGAGGTATTATTAAAATACGATTTAAAAAGGCTTTCATTTTCAAATTTTAAGCAATTAAATTTCAAAAATCACATGTTTGGAAAATTTGATGTATCACATTTAAAATTACTTTAAATTCGTTAAAAAACGAGCTTGCCAACTCTATGTATTTCCAGCCATCTTTATTAGCTTGAATAAAAGTAATAAAAAATTCTAAATAAAAGTAATAAAAAATTCCAAAACCAGAGTTTTTAGCTCGATTGAGTATAAATACGAAATTAGAAATAGTCGCCGATCGAAAACGATATTTTTAAATGAAAAACATACATTTACGACAATTTCCAAAAGCATTTTTTTAGCCGACTCCTCTCAATGCGAAAACGCCGGAAACGACGAGCCGAGAGAAGAATCTATAAAATCCATTTAACTCTTACTTTTTATTGATTTATCGCGATTTTATCAGATGGGTCTCTAAATTTAATTTATGCGCGTTTCCGTGTTCCCCCCCCTGCCTGCCATCCCTCCAGTCTTTCCGCAACGCTCCGCTCAACCCGCCTAATGTGCATCCGGTTACCTGGATAAGAAGGTCAATAAATTATTTTTTCAATTCGAAGATTTGAAAGACGAATGATTAAGAAACTGAATGATTCGCTTTCTGCAACGTCAGCCTTTTTCTTAAAACATCTAATGCCAAAAGTGGCGCAATATAAAGACGCGATACACTATAGTGAAGTATCATACTCGATTTTGAACTTTGTAACACGAACAAAATTGTACGAAAAGTGAAAAATGACGAAAAAAGTCAAAAATTTTCGAATTTTTAAAGTAAAAAAATGTTGTTTTACGACTTTCCAGCAATTAAAAACTACTAAAACACTATTGAATACAGAATCTGGCTTGGGAAAACAGAAAGTGGTTGCTTCTCCTGCTAAATCCCCCCCGCTAGCGGTCCAGAACCAAAGTCGCGAAACGCTGTTTTTTTTTACCAGTGGAGAAAACCGCTTCGCGGCTGAGTTTACATAACTTCTTTTTTTAATAGGACATCGAACTGCCAAATCAAAGCCCTTTTGGGAGGCCTCTTTGATTTCTGGCAAATTGCCAGCGGGCGCTGCGGGACGAGAGCCCTCACTCTTTCGATTTTTGCGCGAAGTTGTTTTTGCCCGGTTTCTTTGTGAAAACACTAACACTGAGCTCATTTTTGAAATCGTCACTCAATTTTGGAATAGTTTTGGTGTTTTAATCATCAGAGTTGGCCCAGAAACAGCCGAGAACGTGATTTCGAGGTGACAGCAGGGAATTTCAAATTTGCGCCTTTCCGGCGCCCCCATGCGTACAGAGGCCTCCGACGTGCTCTCGAGTTTTCGAGCCGTAACTCAATTTCTGGCATTTCGGGCGCCCTTTAAACTCGACAAAGTCCTTTAAACGTGCTCCGAAAGCTGGTCCACGTCCCTCCGCGTTGATTCCTGGCAAATGGCCCGGTGCGACCGCAACGCAACCCCGGGCATAAAGAAGGTTCGTTTCATCTCCGGTTCCACATTTTCATATTTTTTTTGCCGACCCCCTTTTTATTAGCTGCTCCACTCCCAACCCACCTTATTAGTAGTCATTCAGCGTGGGCGTAAACTACACTGGTGATGAAAACGTAAACATTTCACCCTGGAAGCCGCCCGTTCTTATCGCCTGAAAAGGCTATTTCGACAAGACCGTCACGCGCCCACCACGAGGACCCCCCGGCCAAAAATGGGAAATATTTGGCTATTTTTAGAGGGGGATCGTTAGCTGAATCACCCGAAGAATTTGGGAGCGCCCTCCGGAAGTAGCTATGAACTGTTTACAGGCTCCCGTGGGGCTCAAACTTCAAAGTGAAACTTTCATAATTAATGGAATTAAGAAAAAGGCATTCTAGAGGAGAAAAAGCAATAATTTCCCTTAAGGAATTTGTGGAAACTGTATTAAGGCGGCCTGGCCATCCTTTTTTTTTTGAATCAAAAACAGGAAATAGGGTCCTCATTCAGGACAGAAAAGCTTTACTGAGCTGGTTCTTGAGATTTTAGCTACGGTCGGACCAGAGCATCTCTCGCTCTCTCTCCCTCTCTCTCTCGCCCTCACCCTCTCTCTCTTTCTCTCTCTCTCTATCGTTCTCAGAAGCTTTCCTTTGACATATGACAGAAATATGCATAGTGTTAGCCTTTTTCACTAATTGTAAGGTCGAAACATAACTGCCGCCTCTTTCCCTGACCCTCCATAGCAGCTCTCCCCTTCCCCTCTCCCGTCTCTCCCATGGCCTATTGGTCTGTGGCGCATGCCCCTGGCGAGCAGCCCGGGTTCGGTTTTTCTCCGCGGCCTGCGCCTACCGTAACCTTGGTTGCTATCCCGCTGACGGTTACCGGCCGCTAACCGAAGCAACGAGACGTTAGTGTACCTTTAAGTTTGTTTCGTCTCGGTTTTATTTGAATCCAGATGAAAAAAAAACCACAATAGCTTTATGTTCGGTGCAAGAAATTCGGCAAAAATGTACTGAAAATAACCCTTGACTCAAACTGTCATGTTACTAACTGATTTCAACAGCTATTAACCTTGTGCATCGTACCCTCCTCAAAATATCGTAGCAGACCCCCGACTACCAATTTTCCAAGTTTTTCCAGACCCCTTCATCCTGTGATTCAACGACTCATACTTCATCTCGATCGCATTCCCTAGATAGGCATCGCAACAATGTACAGAATATATTAGTAATCGAGCAAATATCAAAAGATGACTCAAATATCAAGTTCACACTAGGCCGGCAGCTCTTATCGCTGTCTTTATGGCTGTGGGGGCTTCCCCAATTTCCGGATGCGTCACGGTCTTTGTATTGTAGCTTGTGACTGGTGGAGGGGAAAACAGCAAAATGTATGTTTCGAATTTCTTACTAGTCGAAATCGTGGCAGACGGGTTGTTAAATTTTAAACAATTATAATAATGAAATTAGTAGTAAAAATAACTAGAATAAAAATAAGAATTAAATTACCCTTTTTAGAGACAACGTCGCTTCCGGATCTGGATTTGATTTAGTATCTTTTGATGTAGGTTGGGTTAAACAGGAAAAAAAGTATGTTGCACACTTGTCGCCCAGCAAAACTAGAGCGAAATTGCTAATTCGATCGTCCGCAAATAGGAAACGCTGTTGAGGCTCGCAATCAGCATTAAAAGCTATAAACAAGACAGTATCCATGCTTCCGGAAGCGTCAACCGCTGCATTGTAGCTTGTGACTGACATCGGAAAAAAACCAGAAAAATATGTTGCAGATTTTTTCCTTGATCAGAAAGACCCAAAATTGGGAATCGGCCCCAACACAATAGCCATAAATTCGATATCGGTTTACCATATTCGCTGATTCTCCGATACCCACGATTAAAAACGTAAACTAAAGTTTGTTTATGGATTAACTCGAAAACAACTGCAGCCAGTGGGCTGAAGGGTTTTGTGAACATTGTAATTATCCTTCCCAACCGCTTTCAGAATTTTAAAGGGATCAGGAAGGGCCATATAAATTAGCCAGAAAGCCGGGTTGCACACCAAAACTAGCACAAATCGCCTCTGCTCCCTCTCACCTTGGCCACCTCTCCACCCGTATTTTGGATTAGCATATCCGGTTGGCAACGTGCCAAAAAGTAGATGGGCCCTGGTCAACGTGGGCCTTCCTTATCCCTTCAAGTCGATGAGTCCAGAGATGGCGAAATGCCGAAGCGACCTTTTCATTGGGACACTATGCACAAGAGTAAGGCAAGCAATTACACAATACATAATTATCCTAGCAAAAGTTGTTGGTCCCCCAATCCGGTCGTAACCTTTTTCCCTCTACCGGAGCGCATCCCTTCACGTATTCGGGCCGTCAGACCAAAAAAAATGTTTCAGAGAAAAGTCTCACACGTGCCCCAGTCACAGTCTTAGCTAACTTTTCGAAGTTGAATTTTGTGCGGAAAGGGCTTGAAACACACAGACATACGGCTTTTCCTTTTCAAATCGCTCTGCCAAGCCGCTTTTATCGAGTGCAGACAGAGTCTGCTGTAACGCGTGGATCCCCGGCGCCCGTCAGTGCATCCCTGAAAATTCCGTAAAAAGTGGCGCCGCCGGAAAGGTACCGTAATCACGTGGAAATTACGTAAAGCAACGCTGGCTAAAGCTTACGTCATTTCTATCGAATTTTCTGGCAGCTGAAATTTGATGTCTTATCTATCACCGGCTTGCAAAAGTCATTAGGCGAACTGGTAAGATGAGAATTGGAAACCCGGGGATTACGATAATTTAAAGAGGTGTTGATGGGTGGGGTCTGGCTACTGGCTTGGCCTTCATAGAAGGATAGACAAAATGATTAGACAAAAAAAAAAATTCTGTAGGCTTTGCCAACATTTTTCAGAAATTGGAAAAACAGGTTTCAAGCTTTTACTAGGCTCGGAATGTCGGCTCGGGTTTAATATTTCTGGCTTGAAATCACGAAAGTATGTTTCAAATAATTTTAAAAATAAAAGTTTATTATTTAAGATTACTGGTTAGTGCACATTACATTTCGTTAAAAGCGCTATAAACAGATGCTTTATAGTGTTTCCTCCTCAATTATTTTTACCTTGCGCTGTTCTTCGACTGAAAGGTAAAAAAAAGCAGAAGAAATCATCCCCCAAATTATCGCAACACGATTCGGTCGACCACGGCTAGAAGTTGAAACTTTTTTTCTTTAACATACCAATAGTTTTTTCCCCCAACCTAAAGAAATCGACGAGAAACGAGAATTACCTTTAGCGAAAAAACGATGGCAACAAAACTATTCTACTACCAGCCGCTTACATTTTAATATTTAAAAAGTTTAAGATACCCGGTGAATACGAAAGTGGGGGATAAAATTCAAGCGTTTTGAGTTTCAAAAATAGTTTTAAACCTGAAACATTGAATCTTGCGAGCGTCTTGTGAGCGAGCGTTGAGCTTCGTATAAATTTTGCAATAGCAAAATTCCGTCGGAAGCTCCAATTTCATGTCTGCAGCCTCTAGCTCCCGGCTTCGTGATGCTAGTTTTGAAAAACCTATGCTGCACAATTTTTGAAGGTAATTTTAGAAACCTGAGAAAAATCGGTATGCCGAGCGGTTGTCCTTTCGGTGTCGTCCTGCCCCCAGATTTTCCTAGCTCCCAGCTCCCCCCGTTACACCTGTACAAATCGATGCAAGGTACCATTGCTAGAGCTAGTAAAAGTTGATTGTTGGAACCGATGATTTGGCCGCATTGCAAATGTGCTTTCCCAATAATCCTGGCCCAAAAGCTAAACATACACTTCACAATTTTTCATTAACCGAATCCAAAGATAGAGTGAGAGGGAGAGAAGTGGAAGGTTGCTATAATTTATTTCTTTTTTTAAACTTGTTTTTTTTAGTTAATTTATC